TTGAAATTTAGCTGTGTATACCAAATTTCATTCATTTATCACAACGCGATTGAGAGATATTGCAAAAAAATGATTTCCATTCCTCCCTCTTCAATGGGTCCCTGTGCCCTTAGGAAGCATTTCCGGACCCATGTTCATATGAACTTTTTTACTTAGTTTTGATCATAGAATCGGCCTGTTCAGGGTTGGCAGCTAATTATGAGACACACTGTATATTATCGGCTGGTCTGATTTCAGATCATAATCTAAGGATTATGAGGGAAAGAACTTATAACTTATACTGCTTTGGGGATTTAAACCGAATAATAACAAAGAAACAATAAAACAATGGGAATTAATTATTAAAATGAAGCAATTGCAAAAATTCAAAACACCACTAATGAACTTCATTCACTAGATAAAAGCTAAATGCATATACCACCGAGCCACCGTAGATTCTTAAGGTCAAACCACAACGATTTACGCTAATTTACCTATGTGCAAAAATACACCGTAAGGGCACTAGGGGGCGTCAAAGTTTTTGAAAGAATATCAATAATCAATTCTAAAACGGAAAAGCTTTGAACGATTAAAATGAAATTTAATATGTAAAAATATATTGGTAAAAGGCTTTTCCTGATGTAATTAATGTTAATTACCGACTTGCACAAATGCCTTAAACTGGATACCTCAGTTAAAAAAATATTCATATTTTTTTTTGTATTAGGTATGTTATTATCATCTAACTGTAAGCTTCCAGAAGTCGATGCCATATTCCATTGCTTTGTAACACCGTTATAAACATCGTTACATGCCATTGGTACTTACTTTGCACAGAGTATTTAAAAGAAACCAAATTTTTGTAATATAAAATTTTTAATTTATTCGAGCGAAATGGCTCCAGACAGAAGCTTGATAGCTTATCCGTCGGGGTAGCTTGAGGATTATAACTATACCCACTACGCCCGATATCCCACGGGATCTAGTGCCCGAACAAAAATTTGCAGGTCCTAACCAGACCCCAGACTAATATAAAAAACAATTAGAGACATTTGAGTGTCTTAGAACTCGGTGCAGAATCAGTGAAAAGAATTCTACGGTCAGCTGAAACCCGAATAGAACTGACCAGTGCTTGTCTTGGTCACTTTGATAGAAGAAATTAGATCGTACGAAACCTTTTTAAAGCAGTACAACTCAGCGATGGAAGACAAACGAAGGTCTCAGAACCATTCATCCCGATCCTTTGGGGGTAGTGAAGAGGTGCACCCTACGCTCAGTATCAAGCTGGACCCAGATTGTGTCGTGAAGTCAACCACCATCCTTATGCTAATGGAAGAAACTGAGAAGTTAACGCCTGTGCCCCAAAGTAACGCGGTAATCTCAAATGCGTTACGGGGCGTAGATAACGGAGCAACTCAACCGATGGCGGCAGCCAATCGAGTCGTTCCACGACAAATCCACATTTTATTTATGAAATATGTACGTTCGCGCGCGCCATTATTCCATGGCTAGAAATTGGCCTCAATGATTTGGGATCGAGGGGGATTATCCCTCTTTATCCTGCCTCATCTCGTGTAGGCCTGGACAGCCTTCGTAGGTGGGCCCCATCCGTCGTCTACCCCGACCGCAAATGCGGCCGGTGTAGGCGCTTTGTGGGACCTCCTTTTGTCCTGGCTGGGCCCTCCTTTTGTCCTGGCTGGGCCCTCCTTTTGTCCTGGCTGGGCCCCGCCGGCTAGGGCCCTTTCTTCTGGCGCTCTTCTTGCTTCGCCGGCTCGTCTGTGTAAACCCCGGGGGTGATGTCATGTTTATGTGTGGTATGGTTGGGTAGGGTAGTGCGGCTATGCAGCCTGGGATGCGCTTTGCTAAGGTGGCCCTTAGGCTAGGGCGGGAGGGGAGGGGTAAGGAGGGTATGGGGGGTGTGTATGTGTGTGTGTGTGGTGGTCGTTGTCTTCGTTTCTTGATCCTGGCGGTCTCTGAAACAGAAAAGGTTAGCGGGCAGGGGGGAGGATATGTACGTTCGATCACAAGCAAAGGAGAAAATGGCGTTAATAAAACTCTCGGTGTTTCAGTTACAATCAGCTCATATTATTCCAGATATGTGCATACCGGTATACAAAATGAAACCAATTTTATGTTCTAGCGCATAAAGTACCTGCTTACAAACAAAAAACCATTAACAGCAGTTTTTACATAAAAATAGCACCCTTGCCGCAGGAATCGTTGCCGTTATAAACTAGAAGAATCCACCCCACGTGTCCCTGGGCGCCTTTGACTCCCTAAATCGAGGTTGGGGCCTCTTCTGCTGCACCGTAGTCGACGACTCTTCAATCCTCGTCTCCTGCACTTGCGGCGGTGGACTCTTGGGCGGCGAATAGTGGAAGGGCGAGGTCCGTCGTGGGGCCGGCGGCGGTCTGGCCCTGCCGAAACTGCCCAAGCCGGATTCTTCCTCCACTTGGGTGGAAGTGAAGGGGCCCCTCTCTTCGGGCGGAGTCTTCGGCGGGGAATAGTGGAACGGCGACGGCGGCTTCGCGACTTTCCTAGCTCTCGCCCTGCCGAAGCTCGCGACAGACTCTTCTGCGGCCATCTCCTGCGGCGGCGAGTAATGGAACGGAGAGGTCTGAAAGATTGGGACATTTTTAATAGTATCTACTACTTTTTTTTTTTTTTTTGTTACGATATACTAACCTGTCTGGGTGGCTGCTTCTGAGGCGGTGTCTTGATGGGCGAGAAGTGTGGCGATCTGGCTTTGGAGCCTTTGGGCCTCTTGAAGCTGGTGCGGGACGCCGCCTTCTGGGTCTCCGTCGCCACCGTGGTTTTTATGGCGTCCTCTTCCATATCCGCGGCTGTGCTGCTCGCCCACTCCGGCCTCTTCTTCTGGCGCGTTTTCTTCATACCCGCGCCCGATCGCGTCTTGCGAATGGCGCCCGTCGACGGACCGCCCTTGGCCACCTCCATCGCCGCCTTATTGTGCTCCTTGGTAGTTCTCAATTCGTCTCTTATGAACGACTTCTCGACCGAGTCATTCAACTTATCCAACCTGGAAAGAAGCAGAAGTCGCTTTTTGTTGCACACTTTCAGTTGTATTACTCACTTATCCTTCATCTGGATCTCTTCTTGGGCCAGTTCTTGCCTCTTGGTCTCGGCTTCGGCGGCTCGTTCGGACGCCCGGTTCTGTTCCAGTTGCTGCTCTTTCTTCAGTTCTTCGAGACGTCGCATCAACCTCTTGTTCTCCTCGGACATGCGCTCTCCTTCACTCTTCAACCACTGGAGGCGGTGGTAGGCTTGTTGCCGCCTCACCATCTCGAAGGCCTCGTCGCTCATCATTGTTTGGGCCTGGAGGAGTTAGTTAATACAGTAAATACAAAAATATGCTTACAGGTCAATAAGTTTGCGGGCGAGGAAGAGGACTATTAGGATAAGAGAGAGAGCGAACGAGAATCACTCGAATGGTCTACACAGTCTTTGTGTTCTATAATTAAATTATTGTGCTTCACTTTAGATATAAACTCCTTTATGGAGTTTCACAGTGGCATCTGTGAGTGAATTCAACTTAACCGCAAACTTATTCCTGTTACTTAATTTACATCTTCCATGGTCTAACAATTTCCGAGGTGATTGATACGTTGTCGATTTAGACGTCTTGATTTGTTCAGAAGAAACAATTAAACAGTTTTAAATACAACCACTCCAGAAATTGTTCAACCTTGTCCCTTTGAACTGTTCGTAAAACCTACTTCTTTTGGTGGAGGGAACAGCTCCTGCAAGTAGTCATCCTTATTCCTCAGGAACCGCTCGAAATCGAAGTTGGGCGCCATCTCGTAGATTTCGTTGATGGCCCTCATCATCTTGTCGCTCAATTGGCTAGTTTTCTCCTCGTAGTACTGGACCATCTGCAGCTGTTCGTTCACCAGCACGTCGCTGACGTCTTGCGTCATGGTTTCATACACTTTCTTGGCCAGAGATCGGAAGGACTCTAGATCTTCGGCCATGACCGAACGCAGAGCGACGCCGTTGTCGGAGGTATAGGGGGCAACCATGTTGATAAACTCGTGGACGGGAACGTCTACATTTTTCACTTCCTTCAGAATTCTGCGTATTTCTTTTACGTCTTCGCCCTCGGGCGACTGCCTCCTGGCGGTTTCTTTCCTGAGTTTTTCCCAGTTTATCGCTGCGAATAAAAAGCAAAAGTGAACATTTAAATTCCTGCGGGTCGTCCGTTGTCATAAAAAAATTTAGGGTGTCATAAGCGCCAAAGGGTATGTCCTTAAATTCATCGATTGAAAATGAGCTTGCAGATTTGTGGAAGTTATGGAAAATAAATGGTACTGGTAAGTTGAGTTTATGATTTGTCAACGATCTCCGTGTTAAAATTTTATATCAAAGTTTTTAATATCGTTTTAAAAAACAAATATCAAAAAATATGAACCTAACTAAACCCAAAAGTCATTTTAGAATATAGAAAATGTTGAAGTCATGATAATTAATAGTGCAAATCGGAACAGCTGTAAGCGCAAGTATCTAGAAGTCTTAATTTAGACTCGGTTAAATTTGCAAATATTTCAATTTTTTTTTCAAAAATCAGTATTGCAAAATTATTACTCGAAAACTATGGGACCGATTTTAACGAAAATTGGTGTGATGTTTCATTACATCAAAAAGATTTCTTTGGCCAAGTATGAAGATCCTACCTATAATATAAGTATTTTTAAAAAAATCGCAAAAATATAATTTTTTTTATGTTTTTGCTACCTATATGTATTTGCAATAATTATGTTGTATTTTTTTATTTGAAAGGTATATCATGTGTAAAATTGAATTACGAATCTTTTTTTCCTCTTCAATTTTTCTCTACAATGAATAGTTTTTGAACTGTGTTGAAAAAAACAGAAAAAAATGGAATTTTTTCCAATTTTTTCACTATTTGTTTAATAATAAGTTTAGCACACGTTTTGAAGCAAGCGCATAGTGAAATTATGTTTTGTTATATGATTTTAAAGTCATTAAAGCAAAAATTAGCGAAACTATATAAAATATCCATATGGGTATTTTGAAACAGATCCCGCCTGGTCTACTGGTCTACTAAATAAATTGTCCCAGGGTCAGGCAAATGCCGCTCGGGAATTCGCTCTTTTTGCATTAAATAGGGCTTATTTTTACAGTCATTTAAAAAAAAAGAGAAATCACCTACGCCTCTTTGTTCTTTTTTTATAACGTTAATTGTTAATTAACTATTGATTTCTCTTTTCTTTAAATTACCGTAAAAGTTCTATTTAATGCAACAGTTTTACAGTTAACAAACTGGTGAAATATGACTATAGATACCTTAAATTGTAGGTAATTTAATTGCTTACAACATAAGATGATTAATATTCCGATAGGTCGTCTAGATTTTCGTGGATAGTAAAAAACAGTGAAAAAAATACGTAATTTTGCGTCACTTTTTTGATATCATCAAGTGTTTTATGATCTAATTCGATCAGTGTACTTACTCGTAGTTAAAGAACATTACAAGCAGCTAATAGCAACTCAGAATCACTCTGAACTGCCATTTGCCATATTTTTTGCCCGCATCGAGATCTCATATACTCGTTGCTACCCTTACCTTTCTTGTCCTTCATCGGCACGCTGAAGGCGGGCAACTGCCACTCGACGACATCCTTTTTCGCCTTAGTGGCGGCGCTAGTGCCCGGCTTACTCTTTCCCTTCTGCTGCGCCCTGGACACATTTGACTTACTTGGCTGCTTGGGTATGGCCCCTTTGGAGGACGTGGATGGGACGCGTTTCGACATGTTACTTTATCAGTGTTCCTCAGAGACAGGGGGACACCCGTTTGGCTAGACAACAAAGCGCTATCACAAGAACTGCCGTCGCTATGCTTGCATACAGGCATACCATTTTTCAGGCTAGTTGCGCGGGAGCATGGGGCGGCGTGAACTGTTGAACGATATGTATTCAGAATGGGAGAGAGATTATATCACTAGCATTTTAAAAACTGGGCCGAATTGTCAATGGGTTTTGACGGGAGCCTACTTTCCGTCAAGGGTTTGTCGGCGATGACTTAGAATTGGTTTTAGAATGTAGACTATTCAACACTTGCCAAAAAAAAATCCAGTTAATGTGGTAATTTGTAGAAAAATATATTGCTACGCAGTGGCGGCTCGTCGGGGTGGGCAGGGTGGGCAGTGCCCACCCTGAAATTTTCAGAAGAATAAACAAAAATTTGTGTATATATTTATCAAAGTGATTTGACAATTCTTATAAAATTAAATCTAAAATGCGTTACCTCCTTTGAAACTCCCCCTACCAAATTTTAAAATTATATTTTAATCATGATCTCGGCAGCAACCAACATAACATTCGGGCTAGCCCGTGGCCGCTGAATTAAACAACGCCGTACCCCAACCATACCTTGCATGCTTATACGCACCTAGGACTAGACAGTAATCGGAAACGTAAGTCGTTCACTAATTTAGAATATTTGGCCCAAGTCGGGCGAGCCCGCACACCGCACACAGCTCGCATATACCCATTGAGCACCCATCGAGTGTTGTATCGACCACCTAAGACTTTTCACCAGTGGTTGGAAATATATATACGTATATTTATTTGCTGTAATTTTGTTCTTTAAATGAATTTTTAAATATTAGAACAATTTTTCCCTGCAAAGGTATTCCAGAAAACAAATTTTAGTAAACGAAATAATAAACCGTTTTATAATAATTTGTAAATCGCGTAAAAAAATAAATATCTATGGTGCTATGTTGAATGTTCTTTGATAATTATAATTATTAAGGTTATTTTAACTCGTTACTGTTAAACTGAATTAAAAGTGATTGCTGAGAAATTTTCAATATTTGAATAGATTCTAGTTTGTAAACATGGGAGTGATGTAAATTATTTTTGGGATGATCTCGGCAGCAACCAACATAACATTCGGGCCAGCCCGTGGCCGCTGAATTAAACAACGCCGTACGTTGCCTGCTTATACGCAGGGCTAGGACTAGAGAGTAATCGGAAACGTAAGTCGTTCACTAATTTAGAATATCTAGCCCAAGTCGGGCGAGCCCGGACACAGCCCGCACCCGCATACTCATCGAGTGTTGTATCGGCCAGCTACGGCTTTTCGCCAGCCAGCCAGCAGCGGTTGGAAATATATGTATATTTATGTGCTGTAATTTTGTTCTTTAAATGAATTTTTGAACATTAAAACAATTTTTCCCTGCAAAGGTATTCCAGAAAACAAATATTAGTAAACGAAGTAATAAACCGTTTTATAATAATTTGTAAATCGCGTTAAAAAATAAATATCTATGATATGTTGAATGTTCTTTGACAATTATATTTATTAAGGTTATTTTGAAGCGTTACTGTTAAACTAAATTAAGAGTGATTGCTGAAAAATGTTCAATATTTTAATAGATTCGAGTTTGTAAATATGGAAGTGATATAAATTATTTTTTAGGACTTTTAAATTCGATACATATTTATTTATTTTTTCAAATAATAAACTGTTCGATTAAAAAAAATAGCTTCTATTTAATATATTTTTTTTATTTCAATCAGATTTTTAATAAATTATCATTTGAATATACATAATTACCTAAAATAACTCTACTCTCCGGGCAAGCCCTTCGACTTCACTCGTATATTCTTCGGGTACTTACGTGTAATCTGCGGTTTGATGTTAGTTTTATTTCATAGATTAGGAAGGTAGAGATTTGTTATTCCTTGTACTTCACGACTTGGTTGTTTGTAAGTTCTAGGTTAGGGTTAGTATAGTGGTTTAGGTAAGTTTTTAATGTTTAATAGTTTGGAGTAAAGCAAAATGGCAAGCCGAAAATAGCGAATTGGTGAGTAGCAATGGTGATATTATTAATTTTTTATTAAATAAAAAATTTTGTATGTTAACTTTCGATGATAAATTATTTATTTCAAAATTAAAACCTACGCCTGACATGAAAAATTTAATAAATAAAAACAATTGCGGAAGTAACAGATCATTTAGTAAAAATTGGTACAATAAATATGAATGGTTAAAAGGTAATGAAACCAGAAACAAATTATATTGTTGGAATTGCTTACAGTTTAATGAAAAAAGTAAAACTCCATGGAATTATCTAGGATATTCAGATCTGAAACATATAAATGAATCTTTCAAAAAAAACACGAGCGATCGGAGGAGCATACATATTCAACATTAAAATTTAAATTATTAGGAAAACAAAACATTCAAACTTTTCTTGATTCTGCATTTCGTGAGAATATTTTAAACCATAATAAAGTCGTGGACGAAAATAGAGACATTGTAAAGCGCCTTATTGATTTGGTTATTTACTTATTTATTTATTTATTTATTTATTTATTTATTTATTTATTTATTTATTTATTTATTTATTTATTTACTTATTTATTTACTTATTTATTTATTTATTTACTTATTAGAATTTTAGTATAATTTATCGTTAGTAATTTCAGCTATAAAAGTGATAGAGAATTTTACTATTTGTTTAGAGAATTATATAATTTTTTATATGTCCTTCTATGCCATAATCCTTGCCTTATCCCCTATCCCGGCAAGAAATCACTGTGATGACATTCTCGTTTGTTCTTGCTGAACTATTAGGTATACTTTTGGAATAACTAATATAATTTTCAGATATATTTATATTAACTATCTTCATAATTCTTAAGTTTTTTACACTTTCAAAAGTAAATAGACTAACGTAGATTGCAATTATTATATGATATTAAGTTACATGAGAGAAAAAAAATTTTGCCCACCCATCTCAAAAAGTCACGAGCCGCCACTGGCTACAAGCATATTACATCTTTTTCTACAATTTCATTATATTGAATTTTTCTGTTTCATTTTTTTTTATAATATTTTGGCCATATATTTTATATACAGGGTGTCCTGAAATTAATGGGGCACATAGCAAGGGTAGATTCCTTACATCAAAATAGTGCGATGAAGCTAAACTTACCTTAGTCCATTTTAGGATAATAAAAGAGTTACAGAGTGTTATAGTTAAAATTTTGAATTCAAAATTCTTAAAATTTTTAGTTTTCAATGAATTATTTTTTAAAAATAATTGGCGTTGTAATAAATTTAAAATTCGATAAAATTCATATCGAGCAGTGCGACAACGGCGCGGCGGATAACAGGAGGTATTAAGCTGTCCAGCTGTTTTTAAGTAAAATATATTAATTATACTATCTTTATTAATAAAAAATATACAATATATTACATGTTGTGTTCCTTATTCCTCGTCCATATTTTGAAATGCGGCGACGATATAATAGAGGAGCGGTATTTTCGCGGTTTTTGCGTCATCCATCACGCCAAACTTTGTGGTAAGTACGTCCCTGCTCATTTTCTCACTCTTTTGGCCAGACTCTATAAAAATTATATAAAATAAAGTTACAATCGGTATAATTCTAGGCTCTGTCACACTTTGGAGTTATTGTTAATAGACAATTGATGGATTTTTTCACTTTGTCTCGGTTTAGGAGCTAATTTCGAATTTGATTTAAAGAAAATTATTGCACTTTCAACTTGCAACATTTAAACGTAGTTTTAGGTGAAGATAGTTTAGTTTTTGGTAAAGTAGTAGCACTAAAAATGAAATCGTATTTGTTATCTTCTGTTTCACAGCTAAGGTTTCGTAAATGTCATGATTGGAAATGATTGTTACCTACGTTACTCATCGGAAGTTTTGACCAACCGTAATTAAGTATTGTTTTTAGGCCTTATAAACTACGTTTTGTTGCTGTGATAGTGTTTTGTTCTTCCGTACTGTGGATGTTTTACTATTTTGTGCTTCATCTATTTTGTTGTACAGAAAAATCCCAAATATTATGCAGAATAAGAATCCGAGTTTGCCTATTCCAAAAAACCATTGCTAAATTTAAGGGAACAAGAAATATACAAAATGAACGGAAAATGACACGTTTTTCGACATATTTTCCCTGTAACATTGAAAGTAAACTCTAAATTAAAAAAAGTCGTTATTTTTTTTTGTTTATTTGACGATTTTCTGTAGAAATATTTATAAATATTGATGAAACTTTGTGAACAAATAGTAAAACATGTCAATTCTACTCTAAAAATTTTGTAACGATCGATCGCGTGGTTTCTGATTGCCAGGATTTTTTATTAAGAAAATTTCAAAAAGTTTATCGCGTACCGTGGGTTTAAATTAAGAGAAAGGGCACACATTTTTTTAGAGATACTGGTTGCCATAATAAACAATGATCAATACAAAAAATACCTAATTCTTATACTTTTATAACCATTTTTTTTTAATTTTTCAACATTTTACTCTGTAAACAATTATTTATTGTCCAGAAAATTTTCTCTGCAATCCACAAAATCTTATTTGGGATTTTTCTGTACAACAAAATATATTACTTCAAACACAAACACCAAAGCCTACTTTTACTGCTCTACCGCCTGGACTATATTTCTGATTGCCCTAAAGCGTAACAGATCCGAATTCTCGACTTTTTTCATCAAATTGCTGCTGAAATACACTTTTACCTGCAGCTAATACTTGCTCTGTGTAAAGATATCCATTCCAAGTGAGGTACTCCCTTAATAACTCATTTATCAATTTAGTTTCTTCGGGTACTTTCGGGGGTTCCTTATTTTCGATATTCCTGTTCAAAACCGTCATGACAGCTGCCCTTATCTGTCCACTCACCTGACCGAGGGTGCCGTCTTTTTGCAGCGATTCTCTGATGGCTAAAATTTAATTATCGCATCAGAAACGGAAATCTAAGCTTAAAATTGTTTCTACTTGCCATCTAAAAGATCTGCTTCCGTGGGCGCCTCCATTTAAAAATAAAAATAAATTCGGTTTCTCCGCGAGATGTGGCAGATTTGTCAGTTCGTTCGTACACCTAACGACCACCTTTTGTTTGTATCAAAGCCTTAATGATTGTTACCTAGTAACTAGCACCAGGGGCGTGTGCAAGGGAAAGCCCAGGGTGTACTCCAGTACATTAGATTGAACTTGAAAAAATATTTGTAGATATTTTATTGCAGTTTATGATGGGACGCAACATGCAAATAAGTTGCTTTGCGTGTTTGTTCACTTTTTGAAAAAAGTTATATGATATAAACTATGGGTTCAAGCTTCGGTTATAGAAAATGTGCTTAGAATTATTTAGTTAATTACATTTTTCGTTTCATATAGCGTTATTTTCGTCAGTGTTCGTTTGTGGTGGACGAAAATAAAAAAATACCAAGTAGTCTTTGAAAGGATTCAGCAAACTAAAAAACACATTTGTCATTTCTGTACAACTGTCACTGTAACACTTAAAATTCCTGTAAAGAATTAACAAATCAGCAAAATGGGCGAACAGGCTGAAAATTTGAACTATGACTGCAACTACAACATGTTCCTGGCCAAAATAATGCTCTCCAGTCTCCCCAGATCCGAAGGTAATTTGAACTGTGACACTTAACGGTACGATAAAACTATTCATTATTTAGACAGACAAAAGGCGGTTAAATGGATGAAGAAACTGACGACGTGCAATAGATCCTTGGAGGAAATGAAGCTCCGAAACGATTTTATGTACTATTTGGTCGTTAATATTCAGCAAGGAGAGCTCCATCCGCCTTTCACGGAAAACCCCCCACCTAGTCCCCTGCCGAATATAGCCCACCTTTTGGTAAAGTTTAGCATATAAATAAAGCAGTGCTAGTACTAGCGTAATATTGTTTGTTTACACGCGAATTTAATTACTACTCCAGTCCAGAATTAGAGCTTGAACGTGAAAAAATTATGAGTAGACATTTTGTTGCACTTTATGACGGGGAAATAGCTCAAAAGGAGTAACGCTAAGTTGGCAAATTTACGTGATTTTTTCACTTTTTTTACTGCCCACGAAAAACTAGACGACCTATAGGAAAATTAGTTATTTCAGGTTGTAGGCAATTAAATGACCTACAATTTAAGGTGTCTAAAGTCATATTTCACTGTAAAATAAAAGTGGAACGTTGAATAATAAGTTTTCGAAAATTGTACATTATTATTGCAAAAAGCTATAGATGCTGATGAAATTTATGGAAAAGACGGTTAATCCAAATACCAACATATGCGCCAAAGGTACACTGACTTGAACATTTTAAATCTGGTTCAAAAATCTCACGCGCGACAAACGTTATTGTTTACTTCTGCTATTACATGTACATTTATTACGTGTACTATCGATGTAAAACTTTCTTAAAATAAAAGTTTAACCCTTCATTTAATTGTCTCTAAAATCTCGGCACAATACGTCTAATAGTTAAATAACAATTATTAACATTACAAAAAAGTTATCTTGTGAACAAAAAAACGTAAAAATAAGCCCTATTTAATGCAAAAAGAGCAAATTCCCGAGCGACTTTTGCCTGACCCAGGGACAATTTGTTTATAACGCTGTTTTGCACGTCCTAGGTACTTTGTTAGTTGTAAAGAGCTACTTAATTCCAACTTTCAAAAGTTTAGTAATTAAACAATTAGTTGCAAAAAAAACAACCAAATTAATTACCAAATAGCTAGAGCAACAATTTCACGGACAATGGAATCGGCGTTTGGCACACACGTTGGTCTTTGGATTTACCGTCTTTTCCACAAATTTCATCAACATCCATTGCTTTTTGCAATAATAATGCGCAATTTTTGAAAACTGATTTTGCTGCGTTCGACCTTTATTTTAAAGTTAACAAATCAGTGAAAAATGACTCTAGGTACCTTAAATTGTAGGTAATCTAATTGCTTACAACATAAAATATCTAATATTCCGATAGATCGCCTAGATTTTCGTGGGCAGTAGAAAAAGTGGAACAACACGTAAATTTGCCACTTATTTGGCTACTTATAATATTTTACTCTAATTCCATGACATTTTCTCTCATTCCGAACCTTTCAGCAATAAGAATATTTAAACAGATTAATTATACATGAAATTAATAATTATGATGATGACGCTAATAAAGAAACAAACTTTAACTAATATCTCGAAAAGAGTGCATTCCCGGTCTAAGGTTTCTATAATCTTTTTCCTTATATCCACCTGTATACTTTCTCGTAGAACACCATGTATGGTGGTAACTTCCTCTTTGCATAAAACGGTAGAGCATTTCTGTTTTTTTTTTTTAGCCAGGAGGAGTGGCGGCACCGGCTGACGTAGACGACATGAACGATCCATCTTCAGGGGGTGCGAGTGGCGGAGGAAAGAAACCCATGCTGTACGAGCACTCTCCGGACGGGGGGGCCTTCTTGGCCGCCCAGCCGGTACCCAGATGCGGGGCCTTCTGTTACCTAGCCGTCGTAGCCCGAGAACCGAACAGAGATTAATCAACGCAGAGATTCTTATTGATACAATTAGTGAATAATATACCTATAATACATGTGATATGTTATATTTCATGAAAAATCTCACAATACATTAACTTATTTGGTATAACAAGTCGATTTAATGATGTAGTGTACCTACTTCGATATGAAACTAACATTTTTTTGTAGATAGTCGTATTTTTTCACTATTCTCTTTTATTTTCATGGAAATAATTAGTTGGCAGAAGGTTAAATACGTATTTCGTACGTTGATTAAACAATATATCAGTTAAAGTTTCGTATCTTACATAGAAAACTGTGTGGTACTCAGAGGAATAAGTAAACATATTCCTCTGAGGTGTGGTATCTTATATTCTATTGTAGTGACAGCTTGTTTCAAATCATAAAACAAGGTTACATTTGAACTACTGTGGGGAAATCACTGGTACTCCAACGTTTTGTGACGTGTGACGTCTGCACAGACGTATGTTTACAATCAATTTCAAATTTGACGCATGTCCTAACCCTAACCTATAAAATATAACTTAAAAAAATGAATAATTGGAGGTAAATGTATGATCAACTTACGAAGTGCTCTTTTAATTAAAATATTAATAAATATGAAGAGATTAACAAAAACTGGGACCGGGAAAGACCAAACGGTGCGTGTAACCAGAAGCAGTACAAATAATGAAGATATTAAAGATAAATTTTCAAAATTTCAATTCCAAACAAAACCAAAATTTTCTCATGTTTCACCAAATCTAAACGTGGAAGGAAATGAAAAGAGTAATATCCATCAAGAAAATGAAAAAAAAGAGCCAGAAACATCATTACGTAAAAGTACAAGAAAACGTGATCACATCAAAATGGAATTTGAACCTTCAACCTCACGAACTAGGACAGAATTGGATAATAATGTTAACGATAATGAATTGCCAATCAAAGTGAAGAAAGAACCAGGAGATGCTACTGAAGAGAGCAACATTTCTGTAAAAGTTGAGGATCCGAAGAAACCAATAAAATCTGAGACAAACCAGAAGTTTCTTAAGATGCCCTTAAATTGGGAAGTAGTATTGGACAATCTACGTGAAATGAGGAAAAATTTTGATGCCCCGGTGGATTCAATGGGTTGCCATAAATGTTACGAAGAAAACGCTCCCCCGAAAGTAAATATCTTGTATTTATATTCAATATATTCCCTAAAATGTTTTAATTTTACACATTACTAGTGATTATTTACATTTAAAAAAAATCCTTTAAGAAAAATGCAAACAGTGTTACTGAGAAAAGGTTAATTTTAGGTGAGAAGATATCAACATCTGCTATCTCTAATGCTGAGCAGTCAGACAAAAGACCAAGTTACTCATGCCGCTATGCAGCGTTTAATCAGCCACGGATGTACGGTGGAAAATATTATGAATACATCCGACGAAGAATTGGGAAAGTTGATATACCCGGTAGGATTTTGGAAAGTGAGTAATATTTTATGACCTTTGTGACCTTTCATGTTTGTTATTATTATTTTAGAGCAAAGTTAAATACATAAAGAAGACTACTGAGTGTTTGCAGAAAGATTACGATTCCGATATACCGAATACGGTAAAAGATCTTTGTAAGCTTCCCGGAGTGGGCCCAAAAATGGCCCATATTTGCATGAAAACAGCATGGGATCAAGTTACTGGTATAGGTATGATTCTTTACATGTTCTGTTCTATTTATAAATTACAATCATTGTAAAATACAATTTTTAAGACTTACCCAAAAATTTTTATTTTATTTCCTCCACGTTCGTACTTAATTAAATTTATTGACACGTCTTGTATGTTTTTCAGGTGTAGACACTCACGTACACAGAATCTCAAACCGTCTAGGCTGGGTTAAGTCGAAAACTCCCGAGGAGACGAGGAAAACGCTGGAGGACTGGTTACCTCAAGATTTGTGGGGTGAAGTCAATCACTTGCTTGTGGGATTCGGGCAGCAGATTTGCCAACCCGTCAGACCCCAATGCGCGACTTGCCTGAATTACGAAGTGTGCCCTTTTGGTATTAATTACCTCAAGAGCGAGTTGAAGGGGAAGAAAATGAAATAACTTCGATTACGAAATAACCTGTTTACGATTTACTTTTATATATTTTTTTATATTCAATAAAGTTTATGTTAAAATAAAACATTTTATGATCTGACAAAGAAATTCACACTGACCTTTCATTAAATTATTTATGTAAGTTTTATTACATTTTTAGCATGTTTATTCTCAATTTTTTCGTTCCGATGGTACATATTACAACTCGTGCATTACTTTTGTGTTTTCCCACAAGTTTAAATTCTATGTATGTCCCAAAATATAATCACAAACTTATTCATTCCCTTTTTTCCTCCTGTGGCCTTTATCAGACTTATGAAATTTCATCCTCTGTTTCTTCATCTGGAGCGATTTTTTCTTTTGCTTTTGACGTTCCAATTTATTTTTCATTTGAAACACTTTACTCTTTTTCACTGTCTTTGTCGCCTGTTTTTTCAATGCCTTTTTCACGTCCTTTTCAGTCTGAAATTCTACTTTCTCCGTTTGCTTCTCTTTGGACTTCTTCTTAGGCTTCAATTCCATTCCGGGAACCTCCTCGTCTTCATTGTGAGATTCTTCACTGCTTTCTTCTTCGTTTGCATCATATTTTGGTTGGTTTGCTCCAATCCAATGATTCTTGTTAGCTATCTCGCTTGACGCTAACTCCACGACTTTAACAGTTACGTCATCATTCTCATATTCTTCGCTGATAAGGTTCTCTAGTTCTGGTATCGGTCTGTGCGAAACCACTAGTTTTTTGTAAGATTCTTTTGCTTCAGCTTTAATTCGCTTCCTTTCTTCTTTCAGCTCTTTCTCAAACTTCTCTTTGGCATCTTTTTTGCGTTGCAATTTTCTCTTGTGGAAACCAGTTAGGAAATCCCTAAAACAATTTATAATTAGCGCTACATGTGGCGCGAAAAATTGAGGTTAACATTAACATCTTAATTATTTTATTTATTTTACCTTCTCTTATTTTCGTCAAATACTAAAACGACCTTATTTTTACGATTTTTTGGCTTTTTAGCAGATCTCTTGGCATTTCCAGATGCCATATTTGCATTTTTTACTACAATAGCACAATAGAACCGAAGTGACAGATGAATGCAGTGAAGTCGATGTCAGTTTTTACAAGGGGTTAAAAATAATTAAAAAAAAACATGTTTCGACGTGCTGTATCACATTATTTATATTATTTTTTCTTCAATAACACAATGAAATAACATTCTACGTAAAGCGAGTGATAATTTCTTTAATATATTATCCTTTTGATAGAAATTTTGATCGGAATGGTGTACAATTTCTGGACACTATAGCTTACCATTATAAACATAATCATTACTCATTAGATATACAGGACTGGTACCACCAACCAATGACATTAATTTCTATTGAAAATATGTAGTATTCATGAACCTTAATCTGCACTACTTGCTACGACGATGTTTATAAAATTCACACGTCAGTCATTTGCGCAACTGTAATCATGACCTGAAGAAATTATTAGTTTAAATAAAATTTCCGCAAAGATCTTATGCGCTATTACTCTCCAATCATTTATTATAATTTGTGTAGGTGGCTTCCACCTTCCTACATTTTTTAATGCTTCATAAAATTGTATATTATATTTTAATTTGATTTACCCAATCTACTTTATCACACCTTTTGCTCCGAATCTGACCAATCAGAAGCACATCGTGGTATTAAGTCGCGCTCATCGACATCATGGCTGTCAGTATAAATTTGTCCATAGAACGATGAGCTTCCCCTCTGTGAAATCTACATATAAAAAAATATTTATATTATTTATTTTGTTAAAGGGTGTTATTTGTAGCATGAGAAGGTACAGAATGATGTTGGAAATTAAGTGACCACCGTCCAAAACAGGTGAGTGATGATTTAATGAAGAAATCTATTAAAATTTGTCGCTAAATTGGATAAAAAATGAAGTTGAATAATCTCCATATTACAAATAAAACAGTACGAGTTCTTATTGTTGTTGCACGATTCTGTGCAGTCGATAATTCATTTTTTCATATTCTAATTGCATATGATCAATACATTATGATTAAATTCTCTAGTTGTTCAGATTTTGCCTTTTGGATGGTTTTTAACCAAGTAATATGTTTAATAGGATTAGAATGTACAAAAAATTAGGCCAAGTATGTTAAATATGATTTACATAGCCATATGGATGTTTTATCAACATGTATGCAGATATGTTAGAAATTTATTTTGCATAATGAATTCCATTTTTTAAGCATTACTCATTTTTAAAACCAAAAAAATTGTTACAGATTTAGGGGGAAAATAACCACACAACACAATAATGACTTCTAGTAGGTATGTATGCGGTGCATTTAAAATGTGGTTTATCAACTTTATAGATATTTGAGCTTATGAAAATAGATTTATGGTATAGGAATTTCCTCCATGGGTTTTTAACGTAAAAAATTTTCCTTTCTATACCAGTTTTGTAAAAATTTTGGAAAGTTAGGAAAAATAAACTTTAAAATCAAGCAAAGTTGATACTTAAATTGTATTTTTTTTATTTACTTTTTTTTCTCATAGATTAGACCGGCTTTTCCTCCTTCTGGAAACAGGCAGTTCCTCTATAACCAGGTCTGCTGCTGCCAAACAGCTGGGGGAAGTGCAGAGGTTGCATCCTCACGAACTAAACACATTGCTATCCAGAACCACTACTTATTTAAAATCCGCAGATTGGGAGACTCGTATAGCGGCTGCTGAGGCGGTCAGGGCCATCGTTAGCAATGTCCCCCAATGGAAACCGCAGGGGGTCAACGTCAAACCAGGTAATTTTGATTTAATTAATGATAAAATTATATTTGCAGTTCGGAACTTTTTTATCCCGCTTCTGATCTGTCTGAATGAGTCTAGAAATTTTTCTCTGTCATGCCGTGTTTTGCTTGCACAATATTATGATAATGGGTTGTTAAAGTACTTGTTTATTTTTTATTTATAGAAGGAAAGACAAGATAACCTTTGACACGGTGGATAGAAATTCAAGAGCCTAAATACCTTAAATTATCATTTAAAAGATCATATTTGATAATTTTTCAAGGATTTGCAAGATTGGAGTGTATTTCATTATTTTACTAAGAGCTCTACCTTGATAGTGTGTATTAATTTCAAAGCACATGCTTAACAGTTTTTATTAATGTGAAGTGGATTTTTAATTTCATTCCAATTTACAGATGATTGTCAATTTTTTAAGTGTAGTGCTGCATAAAACGAGATATTATCAATAGTTTAATTTGCTTTGCTGATATTACCTCCCACTACAGCTCACAATTTTGATAATCATATCCTAGAAGCGAGCTATTATTACTTTGCTTTTTTAATTTCCCGGAATTATACTTCCCATTTTTATAACGATAAGGCGATAAGCACAATGCGTGAAACGGTTTCTGTTGATTGGATCCACCTACATTTGAAAAATATTCAAGAATGGTCGATTATAATAGTAATTTTATTTGCAATTTCTAATTGAAAATTATTAAATCAATTTTTGTAGGGACGAATATATAATAAATATGTAAGATTTATATTTTCCAATAAAAAAAAAATCGTTTTTCAAAAACTGTCGTCAAAAGTGTCTTTTTTGTCACCTAGCTGTAAAATTCTTTTATGTTCTAGAACGAAAATGTCAAAAGAATTTGTCATTTTCTTTTGTATTAAAATTGTGAAATAATTTTTAAAATGTTTCGAATGTATCAAACTAGTAAATATTTTATAGTTATTTTTTATTAATTAATTCATAGAAACTATTAGAAAATGAGTTATTAATAATCAGTTTTGAAATGAACATACATTTGAACATACATTGGAATATTCGTATAAAAATACCCAGTACGGCAGCTGTAATATTTTTTTTTTGTGCAGTTGACCGACCAATAATTTTTTTCACCGATAGAAATTCCAGTCTAAAATAATCGTCCCACAAACACATTTTAATACTGCTCTCTCGGAAGACAAGGAATTTTTAGATTTCCTTAGATGTAGCAGCCCGTATCAATGTGCGAAATACACAAACAAGTGAAAAGAGCCTATCCCTCGTATTTATGCATCTAAGTTTGAGTTCTAGCTGTCAGTGCGGCAAATATTATTTTTTTTCTTAGTAAATGTACACACGCTCATCGCGACAATTTTTTCGCAGAAGACGGGAACCAGGTGCAGTCTCTGTCGTGCGTGGGAAGGTTGCGATTCGAACATTTTGATATGGCCAAGGTTTTGGCGAATAGCACCCACCTGATGGCTTCGGAAGGCAAAGAGTTCGATTTGGAAGAGGATTCATCGCTAGGTAATAACGAAAACGACATGAATAATTCTTTTTTTCATTTAAAAATCGATTCCGCCATTTCAGGCATAGACAATAAAGAGAGGATGGCCAAACAAAGACAAATGCTCAACGCTAGGCTAGGTTTAGACGTAGCGGCGAAATTAGGGATGGATACGTCGTCTTTATTCAGTAACGAGGACTTGGTCGCTAATAACGGGAAGCCTGAGATCTCTTCGAATATTGTAGACTTAAGGGTGCGTATCGTCCGAGAACTCGTACAATTTTTTTATGCCAGTTTTCTTTTTTTGTTTTAGAAAAACGTTAGAGAAGTGATATCTCCTAACGAGGGACTGAGTTCCAGGGAGATGAATCGGGCCAAGAGGAAAGCGCGGCAGGCCGTGAACAAACAGAGGTCCCGAGAGGCCATGGAAGACACTAACGGAGAAGAAATAGAGAAGAAAAGAATTAAGACTGACGTTAAAGAAGAGTATATTATACAGTACGGTAAGTTCGGCATTTTAGTGGCTCGCTTGTAGAAAAGAGTGTTAGGATTACCGTTTTTTTTTTTATTTCAGATTTGGAGGCTGGAGATGCTGGCGACTGGCCCCTGGAATGGTTCTGCGACCAGCTCAGTCAGGATCTCTTCAGTTCTTGCTGGGAGACGAGACACGGGGCCGCGACTGCACTCCGCGAAGTGTTGACTGTACAAGGCGACGGAGCTGGACGGGCCACGTACATACCCTCGTGTCAGGTGAGTTTTTTAATAAAAATTGTTCAGCGTACAATTCCTTTGTTTGTGAATTTATTAAATTTATATACACTTGATTATTTTTTCGGTAAGGACTGGAAACTTATCCACATTTGAATTTATGTTTTAATCTTTAACAGTACCGGAAAATAACCTTGACTTCACGTCCACTATATAATTCACAATCATCAATTGTGAAGTAAAAATGGATGTGAAGTAATTGAATCCTTGAAATATTTTCAGACAATGAATAATGAGAATAATAACTGCTTTTTAATGATATTAAGCATAAAGCAAATACCATGCCCATATTAAGTGGTCATCTACTGAGGTCCTACAGCATGTCTTGTTTGATATTTTACATTATCATTTACTTGGTAGTTCCATTATAAGCATATCAATTTCACAAAAGTATTTTTGTATCTTCATATGAAAAAAAAGTCGAATAAAAAAAAGAGATTTTATTACTATAGCTCCCTGAGGGAGTGTAGAAGTTCTGTGAGTGCTTTTTCTCAAAATTTTTGCAATTGAAATCAGATCTCTAAAAATTCTCAGATTCAATTACTTCACATCCACTTTTACTTCACAATTGCATTCTGTCTCGATTCTAATGGATGTGAAGTAATTGAATTTGTGGATGTGAAGTAATTGAATTCCTGAAATATTTGCAGACAATGAATAATAAGAATTGCTTTTTAACGATGATACTCATCTACTGAGGTCTTGCAGCATGTCTTATGCAATATTTTACAGTATCATTTACTTGGAAGTTCTATTAGAAGCAAATCATGTGACAATGAATGAATCTGTGGATGTGAAGTAATCAGTGAAGTAATTGCGGACGTAAAATAATATGACAGCTAAAAAGTGACGTTAAATTAAAAATATTAATCAACGAAGTAAAGCTTTCGCTGAATCCTGCATTTTATGGCAATTTATCAATGTAAGAACAAGTTAAATATATAATTATTTTCATTCTAGAATATTTTCCAATTCATCTATATTTTGCTGTGTATAATAGGTATAATGATATTACAGTCGATATTAAATCGTCGCTCGTTTCACAGATGGAAACTTACCATCAGATCTGGCTGGAGGACATGTCCATAAGACTATTGTGCGTCCTCGCTTTAGACAGATTCGGCGACTTCGTCTCCGATGCCGTTGTCGCTCCGGTGAGGGAAACGTGCGCCCAAGCGTTGTGCGGTGTGCTGAAATTGATGAACGTGCCGGCCTGCAACGGGGTGCTGAAAATCCTGCTGCAGCTGCTGGATCACCAGGAATGGGAGGCGCGACACGGCGGTCTGCTGGGTTTGAAGTACCTGCTGGCGGTGAGGGAGGACATGATAGACGTTTACCTGCCCGAGAGTTTCCCCTTCATCTTACAGGTGATGTATCGAGAAGTATTTATATAGGGCGTTCCAATGTTCCGTATATCACAGTTTCTTGGGGTCAAAATGTGGCGACATTTGAATTTAACTCTAGAGTTGCTTCATTTAGCCACCAGAGGGCATTGAAGTTGACAAAGAACTCTAGTTTTCTCCAAATAATTCCAAAACGTTTTATTTGGATGTATTTTTTTTTCTAATTATTTTTCACTAATTGAGCTGAAAAAAAATAAAAAAGTCGGAAAAGGAAATTTAAAATGGACGTATGATATTGATGTTGTTCTTAGTCAAGGATCTGCGGTTTCACCTACACAGAACATTGGACAAACTGTTTCCGTTACAGGGTTTATCGGACGCTGTGGACGACGTCAGTGCCGTGGCCGCCTCGGCTTTGATCCCCGTTGCCGAGAAACTCACCAAACTCGTACCCGGTTCCGTCCCCCTCGTCGTCACCAAACTCTGGGACCTCCTGTCCGAGCAGGACGAACTGGCGGCAGCCTGCAACAGCTTCATGGGCCTCCTAGCCGCCATCTTGAACCTACCGCAGGCCCAGGCGTTGCTACCGCCGCAACCCTTGAATGAGGTGGTCCCGAGGCTGTGGCCTTTCCTGTCGCACAGCACGTCTTCGGTGAGAAAAGCCACCTTGCAGACCTTGGGGACCCTGACGGAGAAGCCCAAGGACGGCACGTGTCTCCTGTGGGACGCGCAACTGCTGCAGGACGCCATGCGCCACGTCTACCAGAGGGTGCTGGTGGAGCCCAATAGGGACGTGCGGGACGTGGCCGAGAAGGTGTGGAGTAATCTGGTGAGGAACTCGGGGCTGGTGGAGTTGTTGCACGCCGCCTGTCCCTTCATAACCGTGTGGTTGTTCCTGGGGATGCAGCCGGTGAGGGTGCCGTTCGACGCCAACCTCCTCATCCTGGCCAAGTCGCACGGCCACAAGAAGAAAGGGGGGATCGACGGGTTGCAGAATTTCGATCACACGGTCGTTCCTCCCAAGTTGTACATTGCCGGTGAGTAAACGTTAAAAGGTACTATTTTTACAGGGTGTTTTCAAATCCATGTCATAATTTACGGATGTTGTCCCTTCAGATCGAAAATGTTTTTGGTGATTTCAGAGATTTCAGAGATTTGTCGTGATAGAAAAAAATTTCAAAGGAAAAGAGTTGCGCAATATTCTTTTTCTTAATCGACTGATAGGAATACATTTTCTTTTAAATGACAGCATATCAGATTCTCCTTGAAGTAAAAATATAGTGATTTCAGAGATTTCAGAGAATTGTTGTGATAGAAAAAAAATTCGAAGGAGAAGAGTTGCGCAAATATTTGCGCAATATTTGTTTTTCTTAATCAACTGATAGGAACACAGACATTTTCTTTTAAATTCTAGCATATCAGATTCTCCTTGAAGTAAAAATATAGTGATTTCAGAGATTTCAGAGAATTGTTGTGATAGAAAAAAAATTCGAAGGAGAAGAGTTGCGCAAATATTTGCGCAATATTTGTTTTTCTTAATCAACTGATAGGAACACAGACATTTTCTTTTAAATTCTAGCATATCAGATTCTCCTTGAAGTAAAAATATAGTGATTTCAGAGAATTGTGATAGAAAAAAAAATTTGACGGAGAAGAGTTGCGCAAACATTTGCGCAATATTTTTTTTTCTTAATCAACTGATAGGAACACATTTTCTTCCAAATTTTAGTAAAAATATAGTGATTTCAGAGATTTCAGAGAATTGTGATAGAAAAAAATTTTGAAGGAGACAAATATTTGCGCAATGTTTTTTTTCTTAATCAACTGATAGGAACACACAATTTCTTTTAAATTCTAGCATATCAGATTCTCCTTGAAGTAAAAATATTGTGATTTTAGAGAATTGTTGTGATAGAAAAAAATTTCGAAGGAGAAGAGGCGCAAATATTTGCGCAATATTTTTTTTCTTAATCAACTGATAGAAACAGACATTTCCTTTTAAGTGATAGCATATCAGATTCTCCTTGAAGTAAAAATATAGTGATTTCAGAGATTTCAGAGAATTGTGATAAAAAAAAAAATTCGAAGGAGAAGAGTTGCGCAAACATTTGCACAATATTTTTTTTCTTAATCAACTGATAGGAACACACATTTTCTTCCAAATTCTAGTAAAAATATAGTGATTTCAGAGATTTCAAAGAATTGTGATAGAAAAAAATTTTGAAGGAGAGACAAATATTTGCGCAATGTTTTTTTTCTTAATCAACTGATAGGAACACACATTTTCTTTTAAATTCTAGCATATCAGATTCTCCTTGAAGTAAAAATATAGTGATTTTAGAGAATTGTTGTGATAGAAAAAAATTTCGAAGGAGAAGAGTTGCGCAAATATTTGCACAATATTTTGTTTCTTAATCAACTGATAGGAACACACACATTTCCTTTTAAATTGTTGCATATCAGATTCTCCTTGAAGTAAAAATATAGTGATTTCAAAGAATTGTTGTGATAAAAAAAAATTTCGAAGGAGAAGAGGCGCAAATATTTCCGCAATATTTTTCTTCTTAATCAACTGATAGGACACACATTTTCTTTTAAATTCTAGAGCAAGGGTCGGCAACTGGCGGACTGTCCAAATTAAAATAAAAAATAAGAAATATGAATTTTTTTTCTGGACCTCGTTAAAAATTTTCAAAAGTATCCGGACCCCACCTAAAATTACTTGCCGACCCCTGTTCTAGAGCATCAGATTCTCCTTGAAGTAAAAATATAAATTTGTTGATAATAGGTGACATAATTACTAGAAAATTATACCATAAAAATACTGTTATATAATTTTTTATTCTGATGACGAAATAAAACAAGTAAACATTAAATTATAGCAAATGCAAAACAGAAAGTGGGTAATTAAAAAAAATATCCTTAATTAGATAGGAAGTCGAACAGAATAATTTGTCGAAGAACTGTTTACTTTTTGTTGGAAAACGGTGTCTTGAACCAAAATGGATCTTGTTTTTATTTTTTCCACATTGAAGAATTATTGAAATACTTAAATAATCAGGATATAATAAAAAAAAAACAACTAAATATACAGGTATAATTTCATATTTACACGGAACTACCTTTGACCTTCAGAAACAAGTATAAATGGTATATTTTTTCAAATTCCGTCGAGAAAGCTTGATTTTTTAAATATTTTTTTACTAATTTTCATACCCTACCGCTGAACAAACTAATGCGATCTCAAACAACAGCGCGCTTTAGTCGCAGAGCGTGCTCAATTATGAACTGGGCTGTGCATTGTTGTCAAATCTCATATTTAAAGGAAAGATTATTAAAAAGCAATGAGTGAACGCAAAAAACCTGTGCTTTTCGCCGGTTTTTTCACAATTCGCAGAGAATTTAAAAAAATACATAAAAATATATTTTTGGTCGCAAATTACTTGTCGTAAAAAACTGAAATGAGCATAGCTTTTGATATTTTGAAAATTTAAAAAATCACCCCTACTTAGGGGTTGAAAAAATGCCAAAAATGAAGAATTTGAATATTACCAATTGATATAAAAACTATTAGCTTGTGAATTATATTAATATGTTTTTTTTGTTGGAATTTTTACAATTATTTCTATTCTCTATTTTTGAGGATGATTCCACCCCCTGAGCGCGCTTAAGGGTGGATTTTCTAATTCAACATGCTTATTTCAGTCATGAGAATAAATCTTTCTTTGTATCAAGAATCATCCGATAGAAAAATACACATGCTAGTATTTTTATATTTATTGGTAATATTCAATTCTTCATTTTGGGTGTCTTTTCAACCCCCCAATAGGTGTGTTTTTGAAAATTTTCAAAAAACTAAAAGCTATGCTCATCTTAATTTTGTACGACGAGTAATTTGAGACCAAAAACATTTTTATCTATTTTCTTTAGTTCTCTGCGAATTGTGAAAAAAAAAGGCGATTTTTGCGGTCACTCTTTCCATATCACTCGCCGTGAGGTACCACTCTTTGATGTGCAACTTTTGCTGAGTGGGTGTTCGTTACGAGCCTTATCATTCCACAAAAACAAAAATTTTATTCGTTTAAGCAATATTCTCGTTCTCTGAATTTGTTCCCGTCCAAAAATGTTCTTATTCGGTACTTATAAATCTATCTGATACCGTCTTCTTTGTTCCTGACAAAAAGTGGGCTCTAGTCATATCCACTCTTTCTCCATTCGTATACATGTTTTTCATAATGTCGTACAAAAACTTGCAAAAGTATGATAACTGCAAAATAACACGTAATATTAAACAATTGCTTAAAAAAAAATTAATTTACAATTAATAACGCATCTCCATGCCAATATTAGTCAATATTTATTAATCGTATAAAAATTTTTAATTTTTTAAATGATAGGATGTTTTTTTTTACTGTTCAGCGCTTCGACCACAGTGATATCAAAAATACATGATGACTTTAAAATGACACGTCACTAAGTTATACAAAAGCAATCGGTTTTACAAAATTATTTTTCATTGTCCCTTCTCACAATGTATGTTAATTTGAAAACAACTGGTAGTGCTGATAGTGCATTATTAAGCAAATTCTGGGTACATAAAAATTTAACTCGATCACGATCGAGGTTGTACTCTATAACTAAACAGTTATTTTTATGTATTATAGGTAGCGAGACCACCCCAGTAGCCGTCCGCGAACTGAACGCCATGCAGGTGCGCTGCATGGCGGCGCGTATGCTCGGCCTCCTCTCCTGCTTCATAATCAAACCGGCCCCCGGCGTCGATTACTCGGCCGATCTAGAAAAACCCGTAGACTGCTACGTCAAGGTCCTCCTCGTCCACCTCAACTCCAAATCCGCCCTGCAGCGCATGATGACAGGCCTGGTGGTGGCGGAGTGGGCCCGGCTCAACGACCAACCTCAAGACTGCCCCGAGGCGCTCAAGCAGCGCCTCCACACCTGCCTGAACGAGTGCGTGTACTTCGACGAGATCGCGCACAGCTTCACCCGCCTCGCTCAAGAAACCAGGGATTTCGTGGCTACGCTGAAGCACTACAAGGTGCCGATAAACATACAGAACGACAGCGTGTTCACGCTGCAGCACATCGAGCAGTTGACGGGGGCGGAGACGCAGCAGGTCCTGGTCAAGTTCAAGCTGAAAACGAAGATACAGGAGAGCCTGGAGGAGAGGAGGAGGAGCATCCAGGGGTCCGCCACGCAGACGAGCAACGATCAGCTGATGCTCAGCGTCAGCACTTTAGGTAAGAAGTTTTTTTAAGAGGTTTTTTTTTCTCTTTTGAAGCGTAAGTGTTCAGACTTTCATGGAAAGTGTATGAATAAAGGTGAGTTATAACAGTTTCTGAGGCAAACGTAACAGAAGAAGTAAAACAGATATAAGAAATAGTTTATTTGGCCTTGAAAAACATCCAGATTTGGCAAAAATAAAAGTTGGGGTTTCTTAGAAAATCAATTTTGAAAAAGAAAAAAAATTTTCTCGTTTTTCTCATTTATCTCGGAAAATTTTAAAGCAATTTGAATTTAAAAAAACAAAACAGGTGAAAACTGATGAAATTCTGCACATTAAGAAAAAAACTTTTCGATAGGTCAAAATGGCGGCCACTTGAAAAAAATATGCATTTTGATTTTCGGGATAACGTCATCGCGATGTAAACTTTGAAGTGGCCCACAGAGCTCCAATAACTTTTTTTCGGAAAAACAAAAAAACGCGTCACAAAAAATACAAAGTAAATTAACATCCCAGTTTCAAAAAAATTGAAGAGGTCGATTATTTTTGTTCGTTGCATCCATACGCAAACTACCATTGATCAATGTGAACTGTTGAAATTAATTTATACAATTTAGTATTAGCTACTTGCAAAAAATGTGTTCTTTCATTGAAATGCTTTTAACTTTATTAAAAGGAAGAAACTATCTGACTTCACTTGTTAAAAATGCAGATATACCAAAAAGAAATAATTTTTGACATTTTAAAGCAGACTTGTCCTATGGAAAAAATGTAAACAACTATTTTTGTGAAACATTTAGTAAATTTCAAGACAATTGTTTTCCAGTTTTTAAATAAATAAAATAAAATGTATCGATTTTGTAGTACGAAGATAGTGTTGTGCTTAAATTTTAGCTCGAATTTTAGTAATTATGAATTTCTTAAAACAGGAACTTAACTTTTAATCAAATTACGTATTTGAAAAATATATAATTAAAGTACCCAAAGATTCACGTCGTCCAAATAATCATACGTATTAAAAATAACTTAAGTTCTTACCAAAAAGTAAAATCGAGTAATTTTTAAATGCACAAGTACAAAACAAACTACAACATATGTTCAAAATGTCCACCACCGTTTTTGATGCACACACGATACCTTCGAATCCAATATTCGCGCACTCGCTGGAAAATGCTTCAAGAAAAGGAAATAGTGGTATGCAAAAAACACTCATACACAGTCCAATTCCAGATACCAACTGAATTGCGTATTGCAGCATTGCTCGATATGAATTTTATCGAATTTTACAAGGCTAATTATTTTTTAGAATTAAGAAGTTCAAAAAAGTGATAAACATTGTAGTTTATGGTATTCTATGCACGCATTTATGTCAATATTTCTAAATTATCCGAACTTTGGTACATCAAGTTGGAGATTTTGATAATGTTTTTCTCGGAAATGGTTGAATTTAGTTGAGTTGACCCAAGTCATAAGGGTTTTTTGTTTATTTTAATGTATTCTATCGTCCGTTAAAATTAAGGCAGTCAAACTTCTAACACCCTGTATAAACAAGGAGTGTTTCTTTAGAGTATTGTTTTTTTTATACAGCTGCGCTTTCTGGTGCCATCGTGATGTTCCGAGCCCTCCCCGACAAGCTGACGCCCGTCGTCAAACCGTTGATGGAATCCGTGCGTCGCGAGAACGACGAGAACCTGCAGAGAATCGCTGCCCAGCACCTTGCCATCCTGTTAGACCAGTGCAGGGGCCGCACGCCTTGCCCGAACGACAAAATAATAGCGAACCTCTGTACGTTCCTGCGGTGCGACCCCGAGTTCACGCCCGTCGTACACAAAAATCACGGGGAGCACAGCAAAGACATGCACAATAAACCGGGGAATTATAACGGCATCGTGACTCTCAATAATCAACAGAGAAACGCGGAACGGGCGGTGTTCAAACGATCCAATAGCACGGGGAGGGGTCCCGGTAGGCCCCCGGCCATGGATATACCCTTGGAGGAGCTCCTGAAAGAAGAAGATGATTCGCAGAGGATAAACGGCATTCAACGTCGGGGCGCCACTTTGGCTCTGACCGCCATCACGGAGCATTTCGGTGCGGAACTCCCCAGCAAAGCTCCGAAACTGTGGGAGTTTATAGTCGGGCAGCTGTCCGAGGCCATAGATCCGTACAATTTCGACTCGAACGTTTTGTACAACAGAGAGGGCCAAGCGGAACAGCTAGTTTGGGCGCTGCAAGTACTCGAAGTCAACAGCGCCAGCCTACACAAGTCCCTCCTACCCGAAGTGATGAACAGGAGCTTAGTGAGGCTATGCGTGTTGCTGTCGCACCCTTACCGCGCCGTCAGACACTTAGCCGCGCGCTGCCTCGCCGCTTTCGCCAAGTTGGATTCCGTGAAAGTAATGGAACTGATCGTTAGCATAGTGCTGCCCAAACTGGGCGCCACCGACTGTGATATAGACAGGCAGGGGGCCGTGGAAGCCGTCGCTTGCATCGTGGAGGCCCTCCAGTTCGACATCATACCCTACGTGGTCCTGCTGGTGGTTCCGTTGCTCGGCCGCATGTCGGATCAGAACATGTGCGTGCGTCTCATGGGGACCTACAGCTTCGCTACACTAGTCCAATTGATGCCGTTGGACGGGGGCGTACCCGAGCCCCCGACGCTTCAAGGCAGCTCCCTCAACGAGAGACGCATCAAGGAGAGGGAGTTCTTGCAGCAGCTGCTCACGCCGTCCACCATTCCGGATTACGTGGTGCCGGTGCCGATCGCGGCCCAGCTGAGGAGCTACCAGCAGGCGGGCGTGAATTGGCTGGCTTTCCTCAACAAGTACAAGTTGCACGGGATACTCTGCGACGATATGGGGCTGGGGAAGACGTTGCAGAGCATCTGTATCCTGGCGGGGGATCAGTATTACAGGGACCAGAAGTACAGGGAGACCAAGTCGCCGGACTGCGCTCCCCTGCCGTCGTTGGTCGTCTGCCCGCCTACTTTGACAGGTATGTTGCATTTAAGAGTTTCTTTTATTCAGCCAAGCGTTTTTTTTACAAATACTTTTTATATCGGTTGAATGAGGATCATATTTTTGACCTTTTGAAGTGCGTATCATAATCTCAAATTCCAATCTTTAGACAAGCTGTAATCTTTCTTAATTCTTACACACATGTTTTCACATCTCAAAGAAATTTAGCAATGAAGACACACAAACACATTCCATCACTAAACACTGACCCAACTTTATAAGATTATGGACTTGCGCGAGGCATATCGGCAAATACCATTCACTTTTACTATAAAATTAAACTTCAGCACAACTATACTGCACTGTACAACTAGGCCAAGCAAATACAATTTTTACTCGAAAAAAGTCGTATCCGCGAGATTATTGTAAAATTGTCTTAAGGAACATAATACAAGACATCTCTCATCTCGTTAGTCAAAAACTTTTATTAGCTAACTTTTCTATTTAAACAAATAAGTGAGGAAAACAGTTTTTTCACTTTGCAGGGAAAACCATCGATTTTAGCGAAAAGTGATTATCTACAAAATGAGACTTGTAAAATTAAAATCGGTTAATAAACAAAAAAGTTATTGCAAAAAAACTAGAAAAGTGCCAATTTTTTAATTTGTTTATAACTATTGCATTTATTGTTAAAATTTTATAAAACCTATGACAAGTTGAGGGATTTGTCATACTTCAAAAGTGTGCCAAAAGTGGGCGCTGTAGGTGCAATAGTTTTCGCACATTCTATTCGTTTATAACGGAGGTTCCAAAAGTTATGAAGTTTAAGCCTCTGTACAGGCGTTAATTTTCAACCAAACATGATTCTGAAAGCGTCATTGTAATCTTAAAGACGCAATTAAGCGACCTATTAAAAAATATCACCGTTTTTTTGACATTAACATTCTCAAATTGTGCATTAAAAAACCGTGCGTTTTTCGCTTATAAACAATTTGAATAACATTGTTGCTATTTATGCTATCTCACCGAAAATAGGTGCAATGGATAGCTGGAAAAAAAATACAGTTTTAAAATAAAAAAAGTGCCCTCTACGACCAACAGGAGCCAAGATAAGAATCTTTTTTTAAAAAATCGTAGCGCAATTGTTTATAAATATTAAGACTTGAATTTTTCGCAAAATAAAGTTTACGACGTAAACTACGATTTCCCGTGAATTGCATTGAAAAATGTGGAAAATTAACGACTCACGAGCCCTTTAAAGAGAAGGTACTCGCTAAGTAAACTGTCCGGCGGCCGGCGGCGTGGTGGTGGGGGAAGTGCGCGCTGTAAATTTTGCAATATCTCGGCTTCTATTCATCGTAGAAACTTTTTTTTTTTTTAAACTGGGGTAGCTCGACGAAAAAATAACAATGGGCATATTTACGAATTCGTAGAATAGCCCTGAACCCCAGAAAAAATGCATCTTTTATTATTAATTTTTTTTAATTTACAAAAATGTCACAAAAATTATTGTTAAACGAAATATTAATTAAAATTTCAATTTCGGAATTATTTTACTATTATTAAATAAATAAATGAAGCTATCGTTCATTTAAAAAGTTATTTCTTTTACATATTAAGGCAAAGTAAACTTGTTTTTTCAATATTTTGTTAGCTATTTAATTACGATTTAAATGTAAAATTAAAGTAAAAATTCACAAATTATTTTCAAATTATTATTTATTGTTAAAAGATTTAAAAAAGAATAAAAAGCATTTGAATTTATTGCAAAATTCTCAAAATTAAAAAATATTAAAAATAACGCGGTCGATAAAATTACAATTTTAACTTCCTGAAATTTTAATATATAAAGTTTTTTTATTATATTTATTACTAATTTTATAAACATAATCAAAATTAATTCAAAAAATATTAATCACAACCATTTTCAATAATAGATATAAATAATGCAATATAATACAATTTAAAATTTAAAATTTTTTCTATTTTTATGAGAAATAATAATTTGAAAATAATTTATGAATTTTTACTTTAATTTTACATTTAAATCGTAATTAAATAGCTAACAAAATATTGAAAAAACAAGTTTACTTTGCCTTAATATGTAAAAAAATAACTTTTTAAATGAACGATAGCTTCATTTATTTATTTAATAATAGTAAAATAATTCCGAAATTGAAATTTTAATTAATATTTCGTTTAACAATAATTTTTGTGACATTTTTGTAAATTAAAAAAAATTAAGTATAAAAGATGCATTTTTTCTGGGGTTCAGGGCTATTCTACGAATTCGTAAATATGCCCATTGTTATTTTTTCGTCGAGCTACCCCAGTTTAAAAAAAAATTAAGTTTCTACGATGAATAGAAGCCGAGATATAGCAAAATTTAGAGCGCGCACCTATTTAAACTTTGGATTTAACTTTTCTCGCCAGCGCTACCGCTTGGACGAGCTTCCCCCACCACCACGCCGCCGGCCGCCGGACAGTTTACTTAGCGAGTACCTTCTCTTTAAAGGGCTCGTGAGTCGTTAATTTTCCACATTTTTCAATGCAATTCACGGGAAATCGTAGTTTACGTCGTAAACTTTATTTTGCGAAAAATTCAAGTCTTAATATTTATAAACAATTGCGCTACGATTTTTTAAAAAAAGATTCTTATCTTGGCTCCTGTTGGTCGTAGAGGGCACTTTTTTTATTTTAAAACTGTATTTTTTTTCCAGCTATCCATTGCACCTATTTTCGGTGAGATAGCATAAATAGCAACAATTTTATTCAAATTGTTTATAAGCGAAAAACGCACGGTTTTTTAATGCACAATTTGAGAATGTTTATGTCCAAAAAACGGTGATATTATTTAATAGGTCGCTTAATTACGTCTTTAAGATTACAATGACGCTCTCAGAATCATGTTTGGTTGAAAATTAACGTCTGTACAGAGGCTTAAAGTTCATAACTTTTGGAGCCGCCGTTATAAACAAATAGAATTGTACGAAAACTATTACACCTACAGCGCCCACTTTTGGCACACTTTTGAATTATGACAAAACCCTCAACTTGTCATAGGTTTTATAAAATTTTAACAATAAATGCGATAGTTATAAACAAATCAAAAAATAGGCACTTTTCTTGTTTTTTTGTAATTACTCTTTTGTTTATTAACCGATTTCAATTTAACAAGTCTCACTTTGTAGATAATTTTACAAGCTGTCTGCGAGTCACTTTTCACTAAAATTGATGGTTTTCCCTGCAAAATGAAAAAACTGTTTTCCTCACTTATTTGTTTAAATAAAAAACTTAGCTAATAAAAGATTTTGACTTACGAGATGAGAGATGTCTTGTATTACATTCCTTTAGACAATTTTACAATAATCTCACGGATAGGAATTTTTTCGAGTTTCTCTTTTATTTCCGCTAATTTTCCTGGTGTAAAATTCTATTTTGAATTCAGTGAAAACTAATGCTTAGCACAGAAAGTCGCGAAAACTAAAATAAATGTAATAAAACAAAGCAGTGACAACAATTCTCGTTTCACAGAAATAACATTTCTTCCTTAGTGTCATGTTGTCATGTCCCCTCAGGCACTTCACCTTAACTAGATCAATTTCAGTGGTCATTGGCAATGAGATTCGCATACTAAACAGTGTGCTTTAAAAAAATAGCAAATGTTTACATTTTTTTTATTTTAAAAATTTTATTAAAATCTTTATTAAAATTATGTTTGAACATAATGTTTAAGATTTAAGAATAGCATTCAGTGGATTTAGTGCATTATAAAGATCTTATAAAGACCAAACTTATGCATCAAACCTTGAATTTTGACAATATATTACACAGTTTGTCTAAATATGAATTAACGCACAAATAACAGACTTTCCTCCACTCTAACGCAGTTTTTTTATAAAATGAAGTTAGTTTGAATCTCAAATTACTTTTTGTTGCAAAGAAATTTGTAATTTGCCGCTTTTGAACATGCGGCATCGTAAATTCACACAAAATTAACCCGGAATTTCCGTCCTTCTAAGGCCACTGGGTATACGAAGTCGAGAAGTTCCTGAACCAGAAGTACCTGCGTCCGCTACAGTACAACGGCTCTCCCACCGAACGGGAGAAACTGCGCCACAAATTCAAAAAGTATAATCTCATCGTCGCATCCTACGACATCGTCCGCAAGGACATCTCCTTCTTTGCCAACATCAAGTGGAACTACGTCATCTTGGACGAGGGCCACATCATCAAGAACGGCAAGACGAGGACGAGCATAGCCATCAAAGCCCTCGTCGCCAACCACAGACTGATCCTCAGCGGAACGCCCATCCAAAATAACGTCCTCGAGCTGTGGAGTCTGTTCGATTTCCTCATGCCCGGTTTCCTCGGTACGGAGAAACAGTTCACCGCTAGATATTCCAGGCCGATTTTGGCCAGTCGCGATCCCAAGTGTTCGCCGAAAGACCAGGAGGCCGGGGTGTTGGCCATGGAGGCGCTGCACCGGCAGGTGTTGCCGTTCTTGTTGAGGAGAATGAAGGAGGACGTGTTGGACGACCTGCCTCCGAAGATTACGCAAGATTACTACTGCGAATTGAGTCCGTTGCAGGAGCAACTGTACGAAGACTTCTCCAAGTCGCAGGCCCATCAAACTTTGCAGGTTTGTACTTTTTTTTAAGTAAGAAAATGTATAGTTCGTAACAATTTTTGTTTTTTACAGGAGTCTATTTCTTCTGGAGCGACAGTGAGTTCCATGCAGGGCAACACGCATATATTCCAGGCCCTAAGGTACCTGCAGAACGTCTGCAACCATCCCAAACTAGTTCTTAACCCGTCCCACCCGCAGTACCAGCAGATCGTGGCGCAGCTGCAGCAGCAAAATTCCAAACTGGAGGATATCCATCATTCCGCAAAACTTCCTGCTTTACAGTATGTAATTTTTTAAATTTGTTTCTCTCGCCTTAGATTTTTAAATCCCATGACCACAGCTCCACGTTTGCGTTGTTCGTAAATGAATATTCAGTATTCGTTCAGCTTAATGCATGTATGGATAAAAATTTGTATTCGTTCACAAATATTCGGTATAACCATAATCAACACAGGTTGTGACTTGTACTGTTCGTATACGAATATTCAGTATTCGGTCAACTAAATGCATGTAAGGAAAAAAATTTTGTATTCGTTCACAAATATTTGGTATAACCATAATCAACACAGGCTCTGACTTGTACTGTTCATATACAAATATTCAGTATTCGGTCAACCTAATGCATGTATGGATAAAAATTTTGTATTTGTTCACAAATATTCGGTATAACCATAAACAACACAGGTTCTGACTTGTACTGTTCGTATACGAATATTCAGTATTCGGTCAACTTAATGCATGTACGGATAAAAATTTTGTATTCGTTCACAAATATTCGGTATAACCATAATCAACACAGGCACTGACTTGTACTGTCCATATACGAATATTCAGTATTTGGTCAACTTAATGTATGAATAAAAAATTTGTATTTGTTGGTATATATTCAGTATATATTGCATTTTAAGAAAATAAACAGCCCCAGCTCCACGCTTATGTTGATTGTGTAAAAAAATTCAGTTTTGGATAAAAAATTTGTATTCGTTCACAAATATTCTTATGGTATCTTTAGAAAATCAACAGAACTGTCTCCACAGTTGTGCTGGTCATGTATGAATGTTCAGTATTCAGTCAACTCAATGCAAATATGGACAAAAATTATGTATTTACAAATATTCAGTATATTATATAGCATCTTGAGAAAACTAACACAGTTTGTTGGTTGTATAGAGGTATTCAGTATTCGGTCAACTTAATACAAATATGGATAAACATTTTGTATTCGTTCACAAATATTCAGTATAAGTATATAGCATCTTGAGAAAATTAACAGTTTGTTGGTTGTATAGTATTATATACTTATGTTGTTTTTGGACGAATATTCATTACTCGATCAACTTACTGCAAGTATGGATAAAATTTTCTATTGGCAGATATTCTTTATATAAGGCATCTTGAGAATAACAACCAAGCCCAGGTTCATATTTGTGTTCATAAAAGATAATCAGTATTCGCTTATCTTAATGTAAATATGGATAAAAATTTTGTATTCGTTCACAAATATTCAATGTATCTTTAGAAAATCAATGCTGTTCTTGCACTGTTTGTGTACGGATATCCAAAATTTGGGCAATTTAACGCTTGTATGGGTAAAAATTAGAATTTGTTGGAAAATATTCAATTTTCGGGCCACCTATTTGACTTAAAAATTCATATTTCTCGACAAGTATTCATTATATTTGGATGAATATAAGTGTGCAAAATTCACCAATATCCGTTGACGTAAGTGTGGGAATAGTCTTTTAGACTTTATGAATCGTTGTTTTCAGACAACTTTTGCAAGATTGTGGCATAGGCATAACGGAAAGCATCTACAAGGAGTCCACGGTAGTCAACCAGCACAGGGCCCTGGTCTTCTGCCAGCTCAAGGCCATGCTGGACATCATAGAGAAGGACCTATTCAAGAAGCACATGCCCAGCGTCACGTACCTGAGACTGGACGGCTCGGTTCCCGCCGGTCAACGCCACACGGTTGTTACAAGGTAAACGCCGCTCGTCTAACGTGCAATCGAACGAATATCTCACAGATTCCCCGTCTTAGGTTCAACAACGATCCCTCCATCGACGTCCTCCTCCTTACGACCCAAGTCGGGGGCTTGGGTCTCAACCTGACGGGGGCGGACACCGTCATCTTCGTCGAACACGACTGGAACCCCATGAAGGACCTTCAGGCCATGGACAGGGCACACCGCATCGGCCAGAGGAAGGTCGTCAACGTTTACAGGCTGATCACCAGGGCCACCTTGGAGGAGAAGATAATGGGGTGAGTCGGGAGCCCGTTTATTGTTAACGTTCACGAATCTTGACGTCGCCACCTTTTCAGATTGCAGAAATTCAAGGTGCAGACGGCCAACACTGTGATCAGCGGGGAGAACAGCCAGTTGGAGACGATGGGCACGGACCAGTTGCTGGACCTGTTCTCGCACAAGCCAGGCTGGAGCGGGGACGGCGGTTCGTCGTCCAGGTCGAACGGGGGAGTGCGTGCCATTCTGGAGTCGTTGCCCGAGTTGTGGGACTCGCGGCAGTACGAGAACGAGTACGATCTGTCCCAGTTCCTCACCAAACTGCAGTAGAAAGGTAAGTTGTGGTCGTGTGTGAGGTTGCAAAGTGAAATCTTTGGCGAAAGGCGGTTTTCGATCGAGAAGGAAATCGTAATATTTTTAGACGTCCAGATTTGTTTTGAAAATAATTATTTATGCTGTTTTATAAAATATACATAATAAAAAAATAAATAAATGCATTTACTGATCCGATAAATTCGAAATATTTTTTAAATCAAGATGTTAATAAAAACTATTTTTTACAATTTTTTAAAGCACTGCGTTTAGTTTGTGATTTTCAGTGTTAGTGATCGCCGACATTGGACCCGGTTTGGGTGAAGTTGCAGAAATTACCTTGTTTAATGCTAACAATTAATATGCATATTTGGAAACTAATTTTTTTGAAATTGAAAATAAGAACTTTGAAAAATTGTATAGTATTTTTTTTATTGGAAATCTATTAAAGCAAAGTTGTAAATGCTCCCATAACAACTATAAAAATCTATTCTTTTTAAATTCTACATTCCGATATATTAAGAGCTGTGGGTGGTTTTCACTCTCGCACAGATCTCAAAAAAGGGACGTTTCAGGGCGGGAAAGGCTTTTTTCGCGAGCCGCGTTTTTTGTCGCTTGGGGCAGGCATTTCGGTGAGGTTTTTCCGCGTTTTCCTAGATAAATTTTCATTTTCCCGAGGCTCCTCGGCGATAACGGCAAATTTTCGCTGTGGGAGAGAGACAGAACCCGATGGGAACGCCCACCGACGAACGTTTAAAGAGACGATTTGTGACACTAAAGGCTTTTTTCCGAGCATCGATCAGGGATTGACTCAGTTCTTACGCGCGTGTTTCGTCGTTTCTTCGCCGCCACGGGACGTTTTCGAAAGGTATTTTGTACTTTTTAATGCCGTTTGCTTTTTAAAAAAAGGTTCTGCACCTTGCATCTCTCTTGCGAAACCCCAATAAGTATTCTCTCTCGTCTATATCGCCCTCAACTTTTATTAGGTTAAATGTAACAAAATTTAAGACGAGATTAAGAATATTTTGACACAAACTGTCACCGCGGTTGAAACGTCAGAATTGTCAAAACCAAATTTTCCGATCCCGACGTTCCCCGCGGCGCCAGTAGAGCGATAGGCGATTATTTTTACGTTTTATATCGTTCCGAGCCCTTTGCGGACGATTTTACGGTAGAAAAATGAAATTTTTAACATTACGGAAATTTTTATTTGCTTCGGCTATGAACGGGAGGCGATGATGGCTCAGCGGTAAAAGTGTCGTGTTGCNGGAATTATTTTACTATTATTAAATAAATAAATGAAGCTATCATTCATTTAAAAAGTTATTTTTTTTATATATTAAGCCAAAGTAAACTTACTTTTTCAATATTTTGTTAGTTATTTAATTACGATTCAAATGTAAAATTAAAATAAAAATTCACAAATTATTTTCAAATTATTATTTATTGTCAAAAGATTTAAAAAAGAATTTGAATTTATTGCAAAATTCTCAAAATTAAAAAACAGGGTTCGTAGTGGCTGGGAAAACTGGGAATACCGGGAAAAGTCAGAGAATTTGTTATTCTTCATAAAAAACAGGGAATAGTCAGGGAATTTAAAAAATATTCATGAAAGTCAGACAATTTGATGTTTGCAACTCGAAATTTTGTGAAAGCCGGCTCTGGGTTCTTGAAAGAGAAAACTATTTGTGGTTTTGAAACCTTTATAAGAGGTTGTTAGGTTATAAAAAAGATTATGGAGTCCAGTCGAGAAAAAATTTAATGCATAAACACCAATTGGTATGTAAAAATNCAGAAAGGTTAACTCCGCGTCAGAGCAGTTTGCCGACCTTTCTAGTAGTCTTTAAAAGCGAAATATTTTCTAGTATATTTAGTGCAATTTTCTTATTTTTTTATCATTTTTTTTTCTGAATTGCATGAACAAATCACGTTTTTTTGGGTACTGTCATATTAGATTTTGAATAAGAAAATTGTTAATACAATTTTTTACAAAATATTCAGAGTATTGTATAAGTGTGTACAATAAATTCAGGACTGCATTCCTTGGAAAATTTTAATGGGGGTTTTTCACAGGAGCGGCTGAAAATAAAATTTCCACCTGGGTGAGAGGGTAATTTGGCGCCCAATCTCCCATAAAACCAAAAATCACCATGGTGGAGAAAAATTAAAAAATAATTGATAGAATTTGTTTATTTGTGAGTATATTATACTTCTGTTTAGTTTATATTCTATGGTTGACCCCCAACTTAGATTTCTGTACCTACTGTTATTACGGTTAGTTGATCTAGGGATAGATGGCGCTGATATTAGTTTTGTAGATGATCAAGGCTGCCGGACTGTAAATAAAATAGTTGATGTAAAATCGTTGCTAATAAACAGTACCCCAAGTAATACCCAAACCTTTAAATAAGTCTTTTATCAATAATCGTTTCACGGTAACGATGTAATGTATATATTCTACTATAGTGTAGCCTACAATATACTGTGTAAAATTTATTTATTTAATTGGGGTCTCCTCTAAAAACTTACAGTCTACAGTCTATTAAAGGGAGTTGTTGTAAACTGGTTTTTTAAATTTTTCTCAAAAACTTGAATATAAGCAAACGAAATTTGGTGTAATTATAGTGCTTATGGAATCACAATTTACGAGCATTTTCCTGGTTTGCTATAAAGGGGTCCATGTTTTTTCTACAAACTTTTTTATTCTTTCAGATTTTTTAAGCAAATTATATTTTAAGATGCCTTTGTTTATTCAGAAACTTTTTTGTCAATTTTTTTTTAATGGTAATTATTTAAATTAGTTTTTTATTTATGTACTTCTTTTTTTCTTCTTTTGATCAATAATATGTGGTAACTCTTTCTAACTGACTGTTAAAATTATCAGTTTGGTAAATATCTAAAAATGTAAGTATCTGCTTTTCAAATGATCGGGAGTCCTACAAAATAAACATGTGTACCATTTTTTTCTGTCATTCAAATTCATAATTTTCAATCATGGATCATTAATTTAAACCTGTTATTGTTTTTGTTTGACATTTACCAAAAAGTGTTGCAGTGACAACAGACTACTACGAATAAATTACACGCAAGCTCAGAATAAGAATTCATACTGTATTTTGCAACGATCTAAAAAAATATTTTTTTCTCAAAAACAATACAAAAGAGACAAAAAAGTTTCTGAATAAGTAAAGGCATCTTATATTATTTCGCTTTTGAAATTGAAAGGAATTAAAAAGTTTGTAGAAAAAACATGTCTTCACTCCTTTTTAACAATCCAGGAAAATGGAAAATATGCTAATAAATATGATTCTCTCAATACTATAACCACACCCAATTTCATTTGCTTATATTCAATGATTTTTGAGAAAAATTGAAAAAAAAAACAGTCTACACCACCCCCCTTCAATAGACTGTAACTTTTTAGGGGAGGTTTCAATTAAAAGAAATTATATGAAAGACCCCCATTAAAATTTTCCAAGGAAACCAGTCCTGAATTTTTTGTACACACTTATGCAACACCCTCTATATTCGATTATTAAGTCTTGTATTTTTTTAAACCCTATTTTATAGGTATCACACTAATTTATACAAATTCAAAATATTTTTTCAATGGTCTCTATTACCAGAAATCTAGATATACAAAATACAGGGTGATTCACAAATGGTGACCAAAAATGAAATCTCGTATTTTTTGGTGAATTTTAATATAAAGTTTTTATCTAGGACGCTACGTTAAAAAGATACAGGGTGTTAAACTAAAATATTTTCAATTATTTTAAATAATTTAAAAACTAGTAAGTAAAATAATTTGAAATTTCATGCGACAGGATTTTTTAGAAGAAATTGCTTAAAGTTTCAATACCTTTAAAATAGAATTAAAATTGGCACCATAAATAAAATCGTGGAAGGTGCAGTTTATGGTCAATCTAATAAAAAAAATATTTGATTTTTATTTATTTATTAACAGACGTAAATACTGGAAAAGTGCAATGCCAATTTACAATTTATAGATTATCGCAAAAATTGTAACAAGAATACATTTTTGTAAAGCCTTCAGTGATCTATCATAATTAGAGAAAAAACAAAAAATGTGAGCCCTGTAAGTAAAGGAAATAGTGGACAACGAAAAACTAAAGTGATCAAAGTTTCATAAAATCGTTTCAACTTTTTTTTTTAATTTTAACAGTCTGTATCTTGAAAACGCAGCTATTTTCATTAATTTTTCATGTAGAGTCCCCGATTAGAGCTTGACCAAACGTGTCAGTTGTGCCCAGTATAAAAACCTTTCACTTTACTATTAAACAATTACACAATGTTATTTTTCACCTTTTTCATTCGTAAATATAAGAATTTGAAATTCACGTAGCGTATATATATTTCCAAAGCTCCTGTTGTCACCTGATTCGACAAACTGGGTCGTGCCGGGCCACCCGACCTACTTGTAAATTGTGCCAGCTGGTCGTGGATTATTTGGGCCAGGAACACGCCGACCTTGGCCCACTGGCCGCCACATTGATTGGCCCATTTTCCAGGTTATGGGTGAGGAGGGGGGGGAGGGGGAAGAGCGACCTGGAAAGGCCCAGCTGCCAAAGGGAATTCTGATGTGGAATTAGGGATGAGGGAGATCCTTGGAAATGCTCGAGTTCAGACTCGGATGTTTAATTTGCTCTGTCGATAGAAAACTTCAAGCCCGCATTTTTTTATTACTAGGTCATGTAAATTTACTTTACTTTGAAGTTGATTTAAAATAAATCTTTAGACTTTGGAACAAATAAAAATTGGGCTAGTATTTTTGTATTTTTTTCGTCTTAGCAGGTACTGATTGGGAAAAATTGAGAAAACTTGGAATTTCCTAAATTTTCTTGGAATCTTTTAAAATTCCAGTAATAATCGGTCCTTATCTACCAGGTGCTGCCACTGGATATCTGTTCTCTTTTTTTATTATATTCAGGATGTTCCAAATTCCATAAATTAAGCTTTATTTGTTGATAAAACTTTTCAAAATAAGAAAAAGTTTTAATTTTCTTTTTATGAAGAATATTAATAATCAGTAAATTTAATTTTTTTTGTCTGTAAGTATTCAAATTTATAAAAAAAAAATGTTTTCAGGAATTTCAACTTGAACACCCTGTATCTCAACCCACAACCTATTACAATTTAGTCAAATATTCCACAAATTTTTTGAAAAATATGCCTTTAATTTTGGTTGATTAAAACAATGCCATTTGCTTTTAAACTAAGGATACAAGGTGAAACAGAATTTGTCCAATAAATAAATTTTGAATGTACAGGGGACTGTTACAAATACAATTTTGTAAAAAAAAACGGACAAAAAATTGAAAGAATTTCATTCCCAACAAAAGAAATAAATAAAATTTTATAACACCTATTTTATATTGGCAAATTCACCTGCTTGTGCCGCTATTGTTATTATTAATTAATAAAATTAATTTGTTTTATTAATGAATAAAATATTTGACATGCCTGATGTTACATCAACTGTTCAAAATTTTGTTCACCGACATGTAAACACATTTGGGCCCGTCTTACTTAGTTTTTACGAACCACAAATGCTTCACCATAACATCAATGTTGTCTTGCTTCATCATAAATTAAAACGATATCCATCAACTCCGAGTTGCTATACAAGTAAGCCATTTTCGACACTTGAAAAACTAATGTAAACACTATCGCAACAACGATAATACAAAAATCGGATTTCAGTATTCGGAATCGCATGGAGAACGCATTGTGTACAGCGCACAACGAGAATGACTCTAGACTACAGTAGGCCAGCGATGTAAGGGTTGTAAATACTATAACTTCAATAATTGTTTTTCTTGGAAACTATAAGGATTTTACAAACAATTTTTACGATATTGACCCCCTTTGTGAAGTGGACCAAGAATTTTGATAATGATGTTGATTGAAAGACGGTAGTTGATGAAGAACTTACCTATTGCTTGGAAAATTTGTCAAATTTTAAAATATCCTGGAAATATCAGGGAATTTTTTGGTCAAAATTTGGTCAGTTTTAAGGTTTTTTACGCTCTAAATATTTGAAGATAATGGTACAGAACACTTACTTTGGGCAGAGAACAACATGAAACTGAGCCATGATGGCAAAGTTCAATCATTTCTGTATTTTTTTTTTCTTTCGTCGAGCGACTTCAGTTTTATAGTTAATTTGTTTGCAGATTGGCATTCAATGAATAAAAAAAATGCCCATTAAATTATTAAAAAATTATATATAAAAAAAACACTAATCAGATTGGTTCTTTTTTATTTAATTTTAAAAGATATAGAAAAAATAAAGTTCCTATAATTGTAATATTAAATTCTGTTTAGAATTTTGCTGTACTTTTGAGTAACCAAAGTTTTTGATTTGGATATGTATTGTCTTAACTTAAATTTCATGTGAATCTTCTTGTAAAAAGCTCTTTTGTATTGGGTATTCCACAAGGATGCCCAATAGACCCCTTTTTAAGACAAATACTATTTACCTTAAAATATTGTCTTCGGGGTCTTGTTAACTTTTTGCAGGGCTTTAATAATTATTGAAGGTACATATAAATATATGTTTTTTTTTTTCAGATACCACCACATCGTCGGAGAGCAATAATATATCTGTAAGTAAAGTTATGATTGTCACACGATTAGAGAAAACTACCAAACCAAAGAATTTTTCTATTTATTTATATCTTAAATAACCATATTACCTACCTTGTAGATGTGTTATTATTTTATTATCCCGTTGTAAGAATAAAATTCTGGGTAATCTGTAACATGGTAGTTTTTTTTTGAAATGGGAAAAGAATCGTTTCCAAATTAAATTACATTCAATTATCGTTTGTCGAGGACAAGATTTTACATTCTTCTTCTCATTTCTATGCTGCATTGTTGAAAATAGTATCGTTTATGTATGAAATGTCCACTTTATTTCGGATAGTATTAATTTGTGAAAGTTAATGTTTGATAGCAATAAATAAATATTTCATAATGACTAATATTTCTCCATACCTGGTTTGATGCTGCTTTTTTTTCTTTTTATTTAATTATATTATGGGAAACAACTACTCTGCGGACTACAGCCCCATCCAGCATTGAGTAGTTATCTCCCACGATATCAGTTAAAAAGTTTATTTCACCTGGTGCGAGACAAGTCGTGCTTTGTGCCAGTAGGCATTAAGTAACAATTACATTTAAAATTTGACATGCACTTCATAGGTTATAATTCATAGTGCGACCTATGCGGGTAGGTATGAAGTAATTCTTTGCGTCAGTAGGCGTTGAGTAGCAATGACATTTAAGGTAACATACTATGTAGGTTATATCTCACAGAGCGACTTACTGCCAAGTAGGTACAAAGTAATGCTTTGTCAGTAGGCATTTATTAATAATGACTTTTAAGACGACAGTAGGATTGATGACAACTACTTTGTAGGTTCAAAAGTGACCTATGCCAGTAGGTACGAAGTAATATTTTGTGTCAGTAGGCATTGAGTAACTTTGACATTTAAGATGACACATACTTTGTAGGTTATAATTCACAAAGTGACCTATGCCAGTAGGTACGAAGTAATGTTTTGTGTCAGTAGGCATTGAGTAACTATGACATTTAAGAAGACATATACTTTGTAGGTTATAATTCACAAAGTGACCTACACCAAGATGTACAAAGTAGCGCTTTGTGTCAGTAAAGTTGAGTTTGTTGGTAGAAATGTTTGAAAGCATGTGTTAGATCGTAATAAAAAAAAAGCTTCGAGGGGTTGGATATTAAATGAAAACCAGCAGTAACCTTATAACTTTTATTCCCTGTAAATAGTAAGTACATCAAAAAGGTATATTTAATATATATTTCATTCAGTCAGTAGATAGATAATAAAATAAAATATTCTAACTCATCTACGAGATCTACAACAATACTATTATTTCTCTTTGATATGACAGATGATTACATAGTGTCACTAGAGGCGTGTATGACGTAGCTTGTGATAAATAGCATTCGCCTCTTCCACACACAAAAATCAATACAACTCTGATATTAATACAAAACAGTTTGAACCTTACATTCTAACAACTTATATTAAGGGCTCTGTTCTACTCTGAAGGTTATAATATACAACAATTTTCTATAAATCACAGCATTTTTCCTCTTATTAAAATGTACAGCATTGAAGCTTTCACGCGAGGTGGAAACTACGCTAGCATTTTGATCCCTACGATCTAAGGTCTACTTATTGCATAAGCGAACACCAATATTTGCGTTGAAGCAGTTCTCTTGTGGGTATAATCACATTTTTACTTGATAAGCATCGTATTATATAACTTTATAGGTATGGAACTATTACTATACAAATAAAATCGCAGGGGGTGGAAGAATCGTTTCTTATTCCAAATTCCACAACGGAATAAGCAGGATAACGATCCCAGTGGCTACGTTCTAACAAATAACTAATTTTCTGGAAGTTAGGGCGATTATTTCACTTTTTTCTTAAATCTATGCCACTTTCGGTATCTTTTTGCAGTAATGTAGCAAGGGAAGACGTTCTTAAGCTAGTCACGATGTTAACGACGAGTTACACATCAATATATTCCACTTATTGCTTCAGGATTTATCAACATGAAACACTAAGCTCGTGGTTTGAATTTTTAAACATTTGATACATTGCCTTAACAAAAAGGTGAGAGAACATTACAATTATTCCTCTAAGCAACGATCTTGAAAATTAGGGTTTAGTAATAATTAAGATTTTATATTATTTAACTAAATCGTTTTAATGTTATACCGATTCGATCTGTTTAAAAATTAAACCGATAGACCGAGATATTGGTAAAAAATGGATTATTTTAAATATTCAGTTCCTTGGGTAAATACTGAATTGTCTTAAAAATCTTATTTTACCAACCTTACAATTACTGTACTTGGTAGGTCTTACACATTACGACACGGTCAGTGTCAAAAACTACACTTATTTCTGCGCTTGCGGGTTCTTTGGTTTGTATGTACAATCCAATAAAAATAATTGCCATTATTAAACGATAACGATGACAAAATTAATTTCATACGTCATTTTTATAACATTTTAGTAGTTTGCCATTAAATTTTTCCCTTAAACTTTCTTTTCTCACTTGTATTACTACTGTTCACACTACCCTTTAATATACTCAACTACAAATTTAAATTTTTTACGTTTATGTAGCGCGAATAGATTCAATTTGAAATTCTGCTATAATTGATTTGACAGATCAACAAGTGTATACATATTAAAAAATACATCGAATTAATAATGTATTTGTACGAGATGGTGACATAATTTGCGGGACGTACTGTCTCGTTACTATAGCACCAAAGAAATGGAGTTTCATAGGGCCTTTCGATTTGGCAAAAATAGAAGCTATTAGTAGCTAATAGGAACTTAGAGTTACTCTGAACTGATATTAGTTGCTAATAGGTACTATTTTTGCCAAAACGAAAGCCCCCCATGAGGTACAAAAGAATTTGTGAACCATTTTGACTACAACTTTGTCTAATAATGACAAAAGATCTTTCTAGTAAAATTATTAACTAAATTATTCCAAAAAATTATTTATGTTATGTAATTTACTAAATTTTCAAGAATTATAACAAACCTGTTTTACATTTGCCATTTTTTAATCCAACTCAAAAAATTGTCAGTTCGCCAATTATAGGGCTTACTAATTGGTAGATTACTTTGCCAGTAGGTACAAAATAATGTTTTATATCAGTAGGCTATTAGTAACAATGACATTGAAGATGACCTACACCAGTAGGTACAAGGTACCACTTTGTGCCAGTAGGCATAGAGTAACGTTGCTTACGATAGGTCTGTTCCAACAAGAGTCAGGGATTGGTTCCGAACCGTTTGAAATGTTTGGCCAGCTAAGTTCTAAATGTGTCTTCAGTGAATATATCGCAAGAACTAGTTGGATGCACATTTCTGACGGTTTGGAACCAATCCCTGACTCTTGTTGGAACAGACCTGATATGACATTCTTGTGTGTATAATATTTTTACTGTGCAATTAACAATTTGTATTTTGTACTTTATTTCAAATCTATATATGAAAAGAGGTAACTTAGCAACAAATATGAATACAATACTGTGCAACCAATTTGTTGTGTTTTAAATTATTCGTCATATAACTTGACCGATTTATTGAGTTAAAGAATTGGTAAATGTTAAACAGGTTTTAGAAACTTCAACATATTGTTTAACCGTCGGGAAAAAGAGAAACTTCCAAACCGTTGGCACGGAAAGACAGCACTAATCCCGTAACGAATAGAACCCTGATTATATCCGAAACAGTTGAGCATATCCGAGAAAGAAAACCGTTCCCGCAACTACACTATTACGGCACGTCGAAGAACAGACAACGAATTACAAGAGATAAGGTCCCGCCTTGAGGGACGAATGGGCCCCCTTGTCGTGGCACACAATATGCACGAGCTTCAGATTGCCGGTGGTGAACAGATCGTTATACATACCCTTCACGTCCAAGCTAACCCTACCGCTACCTAAAACGCTATCACTATCGATATCTTTATAAACTTTACCGTTCTTAGTAACAGCGATATCACAAGCTCGAAGCGCAGCGCAAATCGCGGGCACGACGCTGCGCGTCCTCTCCCTGCAGTGATCCAGGTTCCACGTTTGGAAAATGATCCTGGCCTCCCGACTTGTATAAGGATTGATCCGGTGGGGGGGCTCGTACAGGCAGACGTCCTTGTCCCACCTGCCTTCGCAGGTGAAGCGTCCCGACGAGTCGCAAATGCATTTCATGTTCTCGTCTCCAAGGTGCCGCGCCCTGTCGAAATAACACCCGTGATATTTATTTAGTTTTAACCTGTCGCGCAATTCGTTTAGCAAGGACTGCAGTTGAGCCTGCGGCAAGCCTTTAGTTCTCAACAGCTCCTCCTTGGTTTTGTAGAAATACGTTCGGATGCGGTCCTGTGCCCTCCGAAACATGTATTCCTCTTTGGTTTTTGAGGTGGTGTCGAGGCCTGCATCATTTAAAGCTAGTTTATTCTCGTGCGGCGCTTCGGGGGAACGGTCTGAGCCCTCACAATGATTTTACTCTTGCCAATGAGGTTTCTAATAAATGTCTAAACTTTTCGGTCGCCTACGTTTTGTACCCAGTTGTTTATAAAGCAACTGGGCGTTATACAGGGTGTTTTCTAAGTCTATATCATAACTTTATGAGGTTGTTTACTGTAATTATTTATACTAAAAAGATAATCTAGGAAAATTTCAGAAATTCCTATTAAAAAATTGAACATGATTCTTTTAACTTTCAAATGATAGTTTTATTTAAAAATAAAACAGTATTTTATTTGTTTTTTAACCAATTTGTACTTTTGTTTTATTAATATTTGTTAGAAAATACATTTTTCTTTAGATTTGCTGCCACAAAATTTGCATCAAATATGGAGCACTAACTTATGGTTCTTCTAATGATATTGGCTTGTCCGAATACCATATAAAGGAAATCTAGTTCTATATGAAAATTTTTTATTTAAGGGAAAATGATTAAACCTCACTCATGCATTTCTCTTATTTATTTGAGTGGTACTTGAGCGATTAATTATTAATGTGGGTATTTAAGTGCATACATTTTTGCCAACGGTTCCCATCGATATAAAATCAGCAAATATTATTTCTTTGGTCAAATTATTAAGAATTTAGTTAATATTTACTCTATTAATAATGTTGATAAAGTTGTACTCAAATAAAAAAAATAAATAAGGAGCCCAAGTTAAAAATAAAAACACAAACATTAAAAATAAATGAAAAAAATAAAAAACTTACATTTTTCGATTTATTTTAATAAGTATTTTATTTCGATTTTTAATCAAAATAAATGAACAGTTAAAATTTAGTCAAAATGCATGTACTATTTTCAATTTTGATCTATAAAAATAACATTATTTTGTTCTAAACTAAAGAATTACCAACAAAAAACCTTTTTTTCCTCTAAAATTACACAAAAAATGTTTCCACAAAGTGTCAACTTTTAACCAGTCTATACATACAGGGTGTCCCAAAATATGTGGGCAATAACTCGGATTTATACAGGGAACGTTAAAATAACATGACAAGTTCCTATAAAAAATTTCCCTAGAGGGCCTCCCTATAGAGGCCCTTAAAGGACGCCCCTGGAAATCGATTTTTTTTAATAACTTTAAATACTTTGTGTAATTAATTATTTCTTGAAAAAATAAATGTAGCATTTTTTTAGATAGGTACAAAAAGAATGCAAATTTCATCAGTTTATTTCTCTTTAAAGATGTAAGAAAAATCATCAATCATTAAACAAAAAAAAGTTTTTTCTCTAAAACATTTTATCAATATCAACCAAGACTGCCTTATTTTAGTTTAAGGTTCAAGCTATCTAAAAATATTATTTTTGTGCTTTATTGTAAAGCGTGTAAAAAAAATTGACACTCCAAGAGATCTCGGGAACTATTAAATATACCGAAAACAAAATGGCACAGAATTTAGTATGTACTTAGTACCATTCCACTGAAATAGTCCAATTAAATAGGTCTTTAAATCGCAATTTTGGTCAACCTGCCTGAATTTTTTATATAAGTTAGTTTGAGGTACATAATAACAATAAATGACAGTAATTTCTTTTCAACAAGAGCTAGAAAAAAAAGTTTCTTATAAAAGTTGCAGAGCATAAAATTCTACATAAAAATGGTCAATTGACTTTCTCTTGCCATTCGATTGATTATTTAAAATAATGAAAAGCTGCTTTCGAAATTTTGTTTTACGACAAAGATAAAAAATTAAGTTCGCTTTGTGAAATTGTTATAACTTTATTAAAAATTAAAAAATCTATTTTTCAATTTCTCTGAAAAGACATTTTTTAGAATAGATTGAAAAATAAAATTATAAAATTCAATCATTTTCTGCTTGTTATGATTTTTTCAATTTCTAAAATCATCCCTTAAAGGCCCATTTAATTGGACTAAAAAGAAATACTTCCTCTTCGGTTTAACTTCATAAAAAAAATAAAAAAATAAAAATTGCATTTAGTACATTTAGTTGAAAAATTTTGTTTTTTTCTCCTACAGAAAAAAATTTTTAACCATTCCTCGTAACTTTTTGTTTTTTTTTTTATTGGCATAGTTAATCTGTTTTTTTTTAACAAATATTTTGGAGAAAATAATTTTTTCATACAGATGTCATACTGGATCGTCTCAAATAGAAACAAATGTTGTAATTTCAAACAAATTAAACGACATTTAAAGATTCAGACAAAAATTTTTTAATTGGTCTACAAATAACGAGGTCTCTGTTTCACACCAGAGGATTTAGATGCAATGAAACAACCTCCTCAAATTATGACACAGACTTAACGAAACGTGTACAGGGTGTTGGAAAATTCAGTTCACATTAGGACGAAATTATACCAACATTTCATGGAATTTTCGGACACCCTGTATAAGTCAACAAGCGAAAACCCACCTTCGAACCACTCGGGGTGTTCAGTCTTCATGCTGAGCTTCGCCTTCTCTCCATCGATCCCCTTGAGGACTTCGGCCAGCTTAAACACCTTATTCTTCATCTTCTCCGTGAAAAACTCCTGGACCTTCTCGCCCGCAGTCAGATACTCGTCGTTGACCTCCCTTATGGTCTTGTAGAGGATCTCGGCGTCGGTTTTCGCCTTTTCCCCCTTCTTCACCCAGATGAGCAAAGTTTGGGGTGGCAGCGTCTGGAAATATTCCTCGTTTTCTATCACGACGCCGTCCGGTGTCTGGAAATCCAGCTGGCCTGGGGAGAATTTCAGTTTGAACTTGTCGATTGTTTTCTTTTTTAGTTCCTCGAAATTCTTCACGGCTATGCCGACGCGCGTCTTTCTTTCCGCGTCGGTTACTTTGAAGCCCTTCGTCGTGGTCATGTTACACTGAAAAATTGATGAAAATGACGTGAGGTAAGTGTCCCAAAAATAGACAGGGCGATTCGAAAATATATAGCCAAGATAAAATCCAATCTTTGCTAAACTACAGTAATATGTAAATTTAAATTTAAATTTTTAAATTAAAATATATACTTTTTATTTTAGCACCTGCATATTTAAAAATAAATAATATGTCGATATTAGGGCTCAATTTGTCTATATTTTTAGTTACATTAGAAAAAAAATGTCAAAATCAAGTTTGAACCATCTGCTTCATTTTTTCCATTATAAAATGACTAATATATATTTTTTTATTTAGAAATTTTCACCGCCTTTTATATTTTAAGTAATATTCTAACAATAAGCACATAAACTTTAAAAAGTAACAAAGAATTGCTTGATTTTCATAATTTCTACCACTGCCTACTCCAAATAAGCACCTATCAATATAGCGACAAAGGATCTGGGTCAAAATCAATGCAACAGTCGTAAAACAAGAAAGTGCGTATTACAAATCCTATAAAAATATTAAAATCACCTGAAATATTGTCGGTAGGGTGTCTGCCTAAGCGAATCTAGGAACTGTGGTTCTGCAGAGACGCAACCAACTCGACGTGAACGTAGGAACTGGGTTTTGATGGTTGCGTAGTGCATTTAAATGCATGCCGCTATCCGAAAAAGTGCAAAGCAACTAGGCCAATGTCAGTGTCAGGTGAATTTCCCTTTCTCCTGGGTTTCCGGTTCCGACAAACCGGCGCAGGCTTGTCAGAATGGGATCAATAACGAGCAAAACGAGGAACGGGTAGACGAGAGACCGAAATTACAGGAAGTTACCGTGTCAACAAGTGCCTCTCTCGAAAAGATATAATTATGCCATCTTCCGTCACCAAGATCCTACAGTCGTAAATGTATTTAATATAATAATTATTTCATAAAATTGAGGAGAAAGAATGTAGAAAATGTTATCAGATAATTATACTAAATACTACGATTAATAAAAATAATTATATGCATCGCTGATATAGGCAACCTTGAATACTCCAAAAACGTAAAGCCCAGTTTATACATCATTCACACATATAGTCTATTCTTTATTTCATACACTAAAACTGATTTAAAATACAAATTGCACATACAGTTACTGATAGTACAATAATTTAAACCCGTGTCAAGCTATCAAGTTTCTTTCATCAAAATTGTTGGAATATGCCATTTTTACGTCACAAGGAATTTTATAAAAAAAACTTCATTGTATGTAAATTGAAAATGGGTAGAAAACAAAATATTCGAAAAAATAAACTTTTTCCTTACAATAATTTTTATTTGCATTACTTGCAATAGAATCACAACAAAATGTTTAAAAATTTAGAAAAAGGTTATGTGCAATACATATAAAAATTGATAAATTATCTTAAAAATCAGTAATTATTCATATGAAAATGCAAATAGAGGCAAACACCAACTATTTATAGAAAAAAACCGATGTTTACGAAAATACAGTGTCTGATAATTAAAAATATTCCATTATAACTTTTATATGTATATGACAAATTCAAAGGGTACAATATAAGAAAAAAAAATTCTAAAAAGCTTCATCATATTAATGTGAACCAGCAGGTGTAGATACATTGGTATGGTCTAATTGTGTTACAAATTTAAAAAAAACTTGTAATTCCAATTTTTTTATTTATAGAAGAGTAAAATTTAAAATTATAGTGGAGGTTAGGCTAGGTTGAGTTACCAAAAGCGACTACATAATTTGACAAAATCTCATCTACTCTCAAATAAGACAGGGATTGAAATGAAAAATTAATATTAAAAAAAATTATACATACCATATACAGCGAAAAAAAGGACACGGATTAACTCAACCTAACCTCTAACTTCTAATAAGAAATTTATTGAATAAAAAAATAAGAAATATTAAAAAAGGCAGTTTCATTACATATTGATTCAAATCAAGGCAGCAATTTAAAGAAAAAACTGATTTAAAAAAGTAACCATTAATTTATTAGACCCTAAATATATTTCTGACGATACCTATAATGAAATTAATCATTTCTCTATCTCCGTGGAACCAAACATAATCCTCAAATAGGACTTTCATATTTTTTGTATTGTAAGTTTTTCCTAAGAGGCGTCTAAATTTTTTTTTAATAAGAATCTTTTATAAACTTGCAATTATTACATTTTTTCGTGAATGCATAATACTCATGAACTTTGTGTAAGACTAGCTTTAGCAACTAAATCGTTTTGTTTACTACACAAGATGTGTGCGGTTTGTGTCTTTTTGATGATAGAAGTACATTCACATAAATTAATAGTATTTTTTTTTTAATAAAAGTGAATATGCATCGGTAAATAATTATTTTTTACATACCTGTCTTTTTATAATCTTAAAATTATGAAAAGTCTTGTACTTCGTGTCAACTCTTTGTTTACTGTCACTTTGTCTTTATTGTATATAGTAGTGCCATCTGGTGCATTGTCAAGAAAATGCCTAATTCCAACCTCTATTTTTACTTTTCGCGCGATTTTTCATTTGTACGTCAGCTCATTAATAAATTAATCAAGGTGTGATTTGTCCTGTAATTGTGTGATTTCTGCGATAATCATTAATTTTCGTTGAAGGATAATGGGTCCCATCAAACGAGGAGCTCTCATAGTTGTAGAAGGTGTTGACAGATCAGGAAAATCTACACAATGCAAACAACTTGTGCAATCTTTAGAAAACCTCGATATCAAAGCCAGATTGTTGAGTTTTCCGGATAGATCCACACAAACGGGAAAATTAATCGACGAATATTTAAGAAATAAAGAATGTAAACTCAACGACCACGCCATACATTTGCTTTTTTCTGCAAACCGATGGGAGAACGTAGAGAAAATGAAGTCATGGCTCAACGATGGTATTACATTGATTGTGGACAGATATTCGTACTCTGGAATTGCTTTTTCTGCAGTAAAAAAAAGTAAGTCTGTACTCTTATTTGCATTTTTAAAGAATAAGTAAAGTCTAATGTTTATGGTTCTCATATAGACATGGACCTAGATTGGTGTAAACATCCCGAGGACGGGCTTCCGAAGCCCGACCTGGTTTTTCTGCTGATGTTGAGCCAAGAGGAGATGATGATGAGGCCGGGATTTGGTAAGGAGCGTTACGAGAACCTTACGGTACAGGCGGAAGTCGCCGATATGTATAAGAGGTTGAGCGAAGAAGATAATAATTGGACGGTGGTTGACGCTGCGAGAAATGTGGATGATGTCCACAGTGAGCTGTTGGGGAAGTGTCTGAAAGTAATCGCGGAAGCCAAAACCGCTTCCCTTGGTAGCCTGAGGTTTTGCAGCAATAAAAAAGTTCTGTCTTGATAAACGAGTGAATTAAGTGTAAATAGAGGATTTCTAATTTAACTTTAATTATATATTATTTCTGCAAAGCAATTGTGTTTAATTTCTAAATAGTAATAACAATCGTTGAGCTGTATACTATACAAGGTGTTTCCTAAGTATGGTCCGTAATTTCATGTCGCAATTTCTTATGGTATTCAAAGGAAAAACGTTCCTATAAACATGTGGCTGGAAAAGCTTAGATTTCGAGATACAGGGTGTTGTAAATTAAAAAAAATATGTTAATTTTTTAAATAAACTTGAAACAGTCAATGTTAGGTTCTTAAAATTTGGCAGTTATTGTACGTTGGTAGAGACCTGAATTTTTAGTATAACGACAATTTTATTCTGCCGCCAGTGGCGTGGTTAGGCGTGAGTCAGTTGACGTTTCCGTCATAAATTGTAGAATGCCCATGGATTTTTAAAGATATTTATTAATTTCGTACCAGCCTAACATTTTACAACAAAAGAGGTGTCTTGAAATTTTTGCCTAATGTTAACCCATTCTTAGAAAAAAAACTTATTTAATTCAACGGCAACAAAAATAGGTAATATGCTATGCCTTTTTTGTTGTCTTATTTACTTGTTTGGTACCGAGATAGTTGGCATTTTGCTAGTTATAAGTTGTCAATCAAATCTCCTGTGAACTATAACGGTCTTGAATATTCCAAAACTGCATTCAGTCCCTCTCTAGCTAGACTAGTTTTTGAGATTTTTAATTTGGTTTCTAGACGGAAATGTTAGGCAACCAAACTTACACTGCTAACAATAATACGTATAAGTTACAGGATCTTGGCGACTGCAAATGTTAGGCAACTAAATTTACAATATAATATTTACATATATATACATTACATTATTATAATACAAAAAAAAGGTTAAGACAAAACAGCCTTTAAATGAGTACTTTCATTTTCTGACAATTTTCATGGACCATCGATTTTCTCAAAAACGGCCCTGACCAATCTAAAACTGCAGTTAGGTTCTCTCTAACGTCTTCAATTTTCGACATTTTCCATTTTTCTTCAGGAGCGGACGGAGGCATTTGCGCAAAAAACGACCAGCACAGCGTCTTTAGCGACCCCAGATGCATTAAGAGGGGAATAAAGATATTTTCTGAAAACAGACCTTCACCCAAGCATAGTCTTTTCAAAAACTACACTATTTTCTGAGAAAATTATATGTGGCCTATATAGATAAGGTATTGAGTTGAGCTAGGAGTTGACATATTTTTTATTGCAAAATAATTTGTATTATTGAAGTTATGGATAAATAAAGTATAATAACAAATTGAAATTTTATGTCATAGATCTTTATTATAATTTTATATCTCCTTCGTACAGATTTGACGAACTGACCTGCAAAATATTAGACTGAATTATGCAGTATTACCAGCAATGTATAGATTTTTGAGAAATTATTTCTTTGGCAGCCATTTATTTAAATGTCATTAGTAGAGATACGCACCAAAGAGAACAGAACAACAAATATGAATGTTTGGAGCTTCTAGTCCAGATGGAGCCAGTATCAAAACCAATGAAATTTTTTGGCTTATAGAAAACTGTAAAACATTTTAATTTTTGACTTCGTTTCGCCGTGACTGAATATATATCGCAGTCACAAAATGCTCTCATATTTGAAAAATAAAATATATGACGGAACTAAGGAAATACGTCTAGGTCTAGGTTTGTCAAATAGATCATCATATATCATAGTATGTTACCATATCAGTAAGAAATACTTAAAGTAATAAATAAATAATAAATACAGCCCTACCATACCTAGGTTTGTTTTCTGAAAAAGAAATTAACTTGGAAGAGCATAATGAACAGTAGATAATTGCGCCCGGGCACAATAAAGAGATGCCGACTTTTAGTTTTTATACGGTTTCAACTATCTTCGTAAACACCATACCTATATAGGCATATATTGTTTTCTGAAAAATAAATTATTTTTTTGGAAGAACAATAATGAATATTAAATAATGTTTGAAATTCTATGCTTTTCTGTGTGGTTTTTTGTTTGACACCTTATGTGCAGGGGTTGATTTATTAATTTTTTTTTTCGTTCAGATGCGGCTAAATTTTCAATAAAATTGATGTTAATAGCATTATATAATTATCTTTTAACAAATAATCAAATAAAAATAGAAATATTCTCTTTCTAGTAAATAAAAAAGCAATAATAATAATAATACATTCCTTTATTTATCCATATAAAACTACAGAATTTTTATACATAGTTTTAATGTAAGTAAGTTAAAATTAGTATTTAACAAAAAACTTAATTTATACAGTAGTAAAATTTTACAATTTTTTTAAATTTTAGCCAAATACAGATTGTTGATTGTGGATTGGTGCTTATGGAAAGAGAAGAAAAGGGTAAATCTTTATGAATTTAATTGCAATAGGTACTGGACTATGCTTTTACACTTGACCCAACGCAGTAACTTCACGCCATATGCAACATGCAACAAAAAATGTATATGCAGTACAATGTAATTATTTTTTGTCTATATGAAGGTGCATAACGGTGACCATATCTTTTTTCAGAAAAAATGTACAAAATTTAGAGAAATAAAACGTAAATGCAAAAATATTTTACAATTGCAAAATATATCTTTTTATTATCTGAATGCACAGTGGGTCAACGTTTAAGTAAAAGTGCCAAAAGAAATTAACTGAGAACAATATATTCGTTTAAAAACAGTAAAAAAATAAAAAGCTTTGATATTGCACAAATAGTTAGCTTTGATAGTCCTTAATATGCGATTAAAATTTCAGACCGATTCATCCAATAGTTTTTGAAAATTCTAAATGTTTATCCCAGAGGCATTATTTTTGCAATAACTTGACACGCAAAAATACCAAGATATTTTAATTCTGCGGGTGTCATATAAAACAGAAACACTTCTTTTATTGGAAGAAATAATTTTATTGCAAAAAAATTGTTTTTTACCACTGCAAAAACATAACACAAAAACACTGTAATTTTAGTCTTATAAACAACTAGAATAAATTTGTTGCCAGTATATTTAGAGAGATTATTTTTCCATATTCGTAAAACTGGAACTGAAACTTTACACAAATTAAAAAAAAGAAAAAGTTGCTCTAACTTAATTTGGGGCTAAGTTAGACACTTAAAAAAAAATCACAGCTACTTTGTTTATAACAATTAAGTATTAAGTATGTAAGATATGTAAATTAATTATTCCTATGACTTCCTGAAAAAAACTTAAATATTGACATTTTGAAATGTTTGAATGTTTAAACAAATNTTTAGCCAAATACAGATTGTTGATTGTGGATTGGTGCTTATGGAAAGAGAAGAAAAGGGTAAATCTTTATGAATTTAATTGCAATACTGGACTATGCTTTTACACTTGACCCAACGCTGTCCCTTCACGCCATATGCAACATGCAACAAAAATGTATATGCAGTACAATGCAATTATTTTTTGTCCATATGAAGGTGCATAACGGTGACCATATCTTTTTTCAGAAAAAGTGTACAAAATTTAGAGAAATAAAACGTAAATGCAAAAATATTTTATAATTGCAAAATATATCTTTTTATTATCTGAATGCACACTGGGTCAACGTTTAAGTAAAAGTGCCAAAAGAAATTAACTGAGAACAATATATTTGTTTAAAAACAGTAAAAAATAAAAAGCTTTGATATTGCACAAATAGTTGGCTTTGATAGTCCTTAATATGTGATTAAAATTTCAGACCGTTCCATCCAATAGTTTTTGCAAAATTCTAAATAATTATCCCAGAGGCATTATTTTTGCAATAACTTGACACGCAAAATTACCAAGATATTTTAATTCTGCGGGTGTCATATGAAAAAGAAACACTTCTTATATTGGAAGAAATTATTTTATTGCAAAAAAATTGTTTTTTACCACTGCAAAAACCTACCACAAAAACACTGTAATTTTTGTCTTATAAACAATTATAGTAAATTTGTTGCCAGTATATTTAGAGAGATTATTTTTCCATATTCGTAAAACTGGAATTTTTACACAAATTAAAAAAAAGAAAAAGTTGCTCTAACTTAATTTGGGGCAAAGTTAGACACTTTAAAAAAAATCACAGCTACTTTGTTTATAACAATTAAGTATTAAGTATGTAAGATATGTAAATTAATTATTCGTATGACTTCCTGAAAAAACCTTAAATATTGATATTTTGAAATGTTTTAATGTTTAAACAAGTTATTCAATTATTTAAATGTTAATTTATTAATAAGAAAAATATTGAACCTATATCTATAACTTCCCGTCAAAATAACTACAAAATGTTGATAATTTAGAATTTTTTTTTTAGTAAAGTTTAAACAACATACTTAGTTAATTGCAATATTAATTTATTAAAAAATGATATTTAATCATTCCTATAATGTTCCATTACAAAAAATTACAAAAAATGTTATTTTGCAAAAAAAAGGTTTCGTAAGAAGGTACCCCAAATAAAAAAAACATACAAAATTGGCCAACAAGCTCCAGAGATATAACTTGCTCTATCAATTTGCTCGTGGATTTGTAGGTTCCCCCTCCACTGACGATTATTTGGAGCATTCTCAGAATTGCTGTCGTCCTCAAAAATTTCCCACTAAACACGAAACGTAAATGAAACGTTGCAAATGAGATGTTTTACTAAACATTTGAAACATTAACTAGAAACGTTTCTGTTTCATTACAGAAATGTAGCACTTGAAAACTTATTTAGTGAAACATAGCCGAAACGTTACAATTGAGGAGAGTTTGAAACATAAACATAACAGACGAACAACCCTTTGCTATTTTTGCTTATCTTACGGAACAATCAGCATTAGTTAAATTTTGCTCTCAATCCCCAACCCTCAGGCGTTAGTTCATTTGCCTTTGTTTATATAAAGACAATTAGAAAAAAAATGTGGTAGCATATTTATGACACAAGTCTAGAAAAAATGTATGTTCGTGACTTGCGTAGACTGCGCGTAACAGCCCGAGTTTATTTGTTTCCCGTGTGTCGTTTCAATTCGTATTATGTTAGGTTAGGTTTGCGGTTTGTCAGTTTGCTTGGTTTCGTTGTTATTCATCTTTACTTTGACGCTATTTTATGTGATAATTTGTAGTGTGTGCAGTTGTGGTTATTGTAAGGTGCATATAAAATAATGAATATTGATGCAAAATGTTTAAAACGATATGTGTAGAGATTTCCAATTTTGCGTCACATCTACCTAAATATAGTTATACCCACTACC